GTACTGAAGAAACATGAGCAACAGTGAAGCAAACACAGAGAGATCTGTTACTGTCTGTGTGTGCGTGGGGCGGATCAGAGTTTTGTGTGCAGAGAGGGGCGGGCGCTCCATGTGACTGGCCAATCACAGAGTGTGAATGCAGTCAGTTACCCAATGAGGATTTTTCTTCAGCACGATTACAGATATTTTCGAGTTTTACTCGTTTCATGCTCGTATTCATCAAAAATGCTTTATCCGCGGCTCATCCATAGCGGTAACCACCCTGCCATGCCTCCTCCTCCTTGCTGCCTGCCGGCTGTGATAGCAAGCAACAACAGAGTAGTTCCCACTGCTTCTTCGGGAAACAGCGCAATAAATGAATGAATAAATAAATAAATATATAAAACGGGATCTTGCAGGCGTGGCGCTGGGATTTCAGCCGTGGCGGGCCGCCACGGCTACGCCTATGTAAGGGAAACACTGAATCTAGTATGTGGACTTCCTTTGTCTAATGGAATCTCACTTAATAGAAGCTTAAGTTTTCGCACCATTCCATCAGTGCTGGGGTAAACCTCTATAACTCAGGTGAGTTTCCACTCATTTCTTGGTGCATCATCCTGTAAAATCACAATGTCTCCTACATGTGAATTACGTAATGGTCTTTGCCATTTCTGCCTCTGCTGGAGGTTCAAAAGGTACTCTCGTTTCCATCGCTGCCAGAACTCATTACCCAGAAACTGGACCTTTCTCCATATTTTACGTAGACATAAGTCTTCTTTACAAAACTGTCCAGGTGGGGTAGAATAATGGGAGGACTTCATGGTGAGTATATGATTAGGTGTGAGAGGTTCTGGTCCAGTAGGATCATGTGCGTAGATGTTCACTGCTCAATGGTCTGCTATTGATTATGGCCATTGTTTCACATAGAAACATCCTTAGTGTTGTGGTGTCCAGCTTGCTGGCAGACTTGTCAAGCATAGCATTTAAGATGCTTCTAACTGTTTGAATTTGGTGCTCCCAAATTCCTCCCATATGACTCGCTGCTGGGACATTCATGATAGAGTCACAACCAAATTCTCGTTGGCGATCTTGATCCATTGTTTTGAGCAATTTGGCTAGCTCTCTCTTTGCACCAATGAAATCTGTTCCCTGATCACATCTCTGTTGATGCACGGGCCCTCTAATAGCAATGAGTGTCCGAAGTGCATTCATGAAGGCATCCGTTGTTAAGTCATCCAATGCATCTATATGCACTGCTCTAGAGCACAAGCAGGTGAATAACAGTTCATATTGTTTTAATTCCTTTCTTCCTTCCTTCGGAGAGGGTCACCGGACAGTGTGGGGATGATTAGAACCTAGACTGGCTTCACTGGAGGACTTGAATGATCAATACAGACTTCAAGGCAGAGAGGAAAATTATCTCTGCCTGACCCAAACAAAGTCTTCTAATCCAAATCTGATGCCAAGGCAGCCTTGAGCTGCTAACAACAACCCCCACGATGGAACGAATGCAGACAGATGCTGTGAAAACCCATCCCACCCCCCCGCCTTCAGATTGTGGACTTCTGCCTAGCGAGGTCATCAACCTGCAGGAACTCAAATGTGCTCTGCGCTCCTCCAAAGATCTCCCTCCCTCCTGTGGATACAGTTGGCTGAGCGCCACACAGGGCTGCTCCCGCTGGGGAAACAGGATCCCAAATCTCTTGAGGCTAGCACTAGCTCTGACTACTCAGAAATTTTTGTCAGCCGATCTAACATTGAAGTTACTTCCTCTGTCCTTACAGCATGAACATGCATTTTGCGAAGTTCGGGGTCAGCTAGTTGTACTTCTCCCACCATCTTCTCATTTTGGGGCAGATTTAGTTCCCAGAGAAAGTCAGGTCCCTTCAGCCAGCTGGATTCTTGAGCTGGTCTGCGCTCAATCCCCTTGAGGCATAATCAGCTGGATTCTCTTCCGTGCAGACATGTTGCCATTGCTAAGGTTTTGTGCTACATCGAATACGCTGGACTCTGTTGGCTACAAACCTATGAAACCTTTTGGCGTCGTTATTCACATAGTCAAGAACAACATTTGAGTAAGCCCAATAAAATTCCTTTAAATTTTCAATCTCAAGCTCTTTTCTGAGTACATCGCCAATGCGAACTGAAGTTACAGCTGAAGACAACTCAAGCCTTGGTTTGGTTGTCTGTTTGGTTGGGGCAACTCTTGCCTTCCCCATCACAAGTGAGCAACTGACTTCTCCTGTTTCGCTCACTGCTCTGAGATATGAGCATGTACCATATCCATTGAGACTTTCGTCTGAATAGTTATGGAGTTCATATACCTTTACTTTGTCAAAGTCAGGAGGCAGATAGCTTCTTGGAATCTTAACCACTGCTTAGTGCGGTAGGTCCTTGAGCCACGACTCCCACTGAGGTAAAATGTGTTCTGGAAGGTCTGCATCCCAGCTCACTTTGTCCTTACAAAGTACCTGTAGAATCTGTTTGCCAGTGAGTACAAACGGAGCCACAAATCCTAGCGGATCAAAAACTGATGCAACAGTGGAAAGAGCACCTCTTCGAGTCCATGGGTTTTGCTTGGCCACAATCCTGAATTGGAACTCATCTGATTCAACACACCACTGCACTCCAAGTGCGTGCTCTCTTACTAAATACTGTCCAGGAACTAACAGCTTACAGAAGTGACTTCACCGCTGCAAAAACGAGTGGTCAGGTAGTTGCTCAAAAGTGGGGAGTGTGTTGTGAGTTCACACAAGTTCAAGCGAGGCGAGAAAAATGACATTATGATGAGCTGTGTGAGGATGAGAGGCTCAGTGACCCTGAGAGTCTCTTCAGGGTCAATGTCTTTAATGCTAGCCTGGACATCATTATCAGTGACTGTAGCAACAGCAGAGCGGCCATTTTCCAAACTCAAACTGATCAAGACCTATCTAAGGGGTTCTATTGGACAGGACCATTTGAGTGGATTGGCCATACTCTCAATCAAGAACAAAACAGGGAGGAAATTGGATTTATCTGATGAGTTTGCTGAGCAGAAGGCACGCAGAGTCCAGTTCCAAATTGGTGAGTAGTCTTCTGTCAGGTTTCCCCCAGCACTTTATAAGCCTGGCAGCCCACCAGGCTTTGCTTGCCCACCCGCCAGGCTAAGTATCATGCCCCGCCACCCTTCCCGACCCTACCGTGTCCGCTCTCACAGAGGAGCGCTGCGGGACGGAACGCGCAACCCCCCCCCCCCCACACACACACACACACACACACACCACTCTCATGGAAGAGCGCTGTGAGGCCTTGCAACACTCCACAGGAGGCGGAGAAGTCAGAGAGTAAAGGTTGGTTGGTTCATGCTTGGCGCGTCCGCGAGGTCCGCACGGCTCCGTGCGGAAAAGTTGCGTCATTTTAACAACCACGCCCCTCCACCGCGCCTCCGCACAGCCCAAACTTTCCTCACCGCACACCTAGGAAATTTTCTAACCACCGGGACGGTCGGACGCAGAAAAACATGGCGGACAGGCAAGAACTAGTATAGCAAAAGTTCGTAAATACAGACATTTGTATGACTCAGCTCTCAAAGATCGCCGTGATCAACATGTTGTTAATAATTCTTGGAGAGAAATAGCTCGCACTGTCAGAAAAGACGAGGACGCTGTTAAAAAATGCTGGAATGCCATGTTGTAAACAGTAATTTTTACTTCTACTATGGTGTAGTGTTGGATGCATGCTGTAGAATTCCATGCTGCCCCCTACAGTTTGGGAGAATATTGGCTCACCGCAGAGACAAGCCGCATGAATAAAAAACGCTGCAAGTTGTGAAGCGCGTTCCATCTGCGAGCCGCATCACCAAGCGGAAAGTGAATGCGTCAAGCATAAACCAAGCTAAAACGTCTCTGTCAGTGCGTGTGCGTCTCTCGCTTATGGAGCTGATGGAGAAGTATAAATTAAGCTTAAGGCATAGTGGAGTCACTAAAATGAATGGATGTCAATGAAAGGTCCACACAAGGATACAAATACAAGTGTGTGTGTGTGTGTGTGTGTGTGTAGTGTGTGTGTGTGTGTGTGTGTGTGTGTGTGTGTGTGTGTGTGTGTGTGTGTGTGTGTGTGTGTGTGTGTGTGTGTGTTTTGGCTGCACTTTGCATTTTAAAACAATTCTACATTCAAATAAAATTTTAGAAAAAGCAGCAAGCAACAAAGTTATTGACTATGCAAGAAGGAAAAATTTGTTTTGAAGTTATCCACCCCCCCCCCCCTAAAAGTCCTCCCTAAGAAGTGTTTTTGTGTTTCAAAGCTTCATTAAGCATTTAAAAATTACACATTTGAAATAAACAAACCAACATAAAATGCTTTGAATTTCATTTAGCAAAAGATAACCAATAGTTTTTAGCGGTCAAAGGTTCATTACGTCCATACTAGCTTCCTGCCTACATGATAATAATAATAATAATAATAATAATAATAATAATAATAATAATAATAATAATAATAATAATAGTATTACATACGTTTTATAAAGAGATTTTCACAACTCAAATATGCTGAGTACCTTTGTTATTAATTTCTTCAAATTATTATCTCTAAAGTGTTTGTGCTGCTGTAACAAATGCATTTCCCCACTGTGGGATCAATAAAAGTCCATTCTATTCTATTCTATATAAAACAAGGATTAAATCACATAATATGAGACAAGAAACATAAATGCATTTGTACCTGCTTTCACATTATGGGAAAATTTGATGCATCTTAAATTATGATCTGGTTTCATTTAGAAAGCAGCTAAATGAATGTCTTGCATTAGAAATGTTGGATTTGTGAATATAATTAATCATTAAAATTAAGAAATCAGCTCAAATAAATTGTTCTGTCTATTTTAGTGGGAAATAAAAACATCAAACAATATTATTTCATAGGATAAAGAAAAGTCAGAAAAAGAGCAAAAGACTTAAACATCACCCTAACATTCGTAGATAAACTGAACATTTCGCTTCACATGAAGGTGACGTATTTCCGGGACATCAATATGACGTATTTCCGTCGTTTTTTTTTTTCTCTCATCGGTAGAAGCTGTACCTCTTGATCAGCTAGCTAGTGCATTTAGCCAGCGAGCCCGCGGCATCGTTTCAGGTTAAACCGCCCTCTCTGGAGTCGTTTGGCGGCTGTTGTCTCGTTGGAAGCTCTCCCCGTGCCTGTGGTGGTCTGATGCACGGTCTCTGCAGGCTGGCAGCCGGGCGAGTGAAGGCGGTGTCTCCGTCCTAAACCTTCGCTAGAAATGAAAAGGTACGTTGGACTGTGACGTGCGCCATTTTTAACCTGGTAACAAAGCTAACGTTACAGAGAATAAACATCCACACCTGCCAATGTCTGTTCATTCCAGTCATAACTTATTCTTTTTTTTTTGCATTTGGATGCGTGCAGCCAACAGAAAAGCCCGGAACCAGACGGGACCGTCTCCGTCAGCGAGGAAGGTAAATGACATTACCCAGAAGGTAACGCTGGAGAAAGAGGACACACTTTAACGAATTGATACACTGTTCTTGGTAATGTGGGCCTAAATATACTTATGTCAGGGTGTATTCCAGAAAGCGAGGTTTTCCCCAAGTTAGGCTTTCTTTTGAGAATCCCGTGTAACCGCTCCTAAATCAGTTTTACGGACATACCGGTAGCTAGCCTGAAACCCCTCCCAGTCACCATGGTAACACATGCCGGAGGACAAACCTGCTCTGTGGCAGGTTAGGGTTACAGGGCTAACTAATGGGGGAACAAGGTCAATTTTTGACCTCAGCACTTTTTACCATCCATAAACAATATTATACCATATTAAATAGACAGGGGTTAAGCACTAGGACCAAGCGGAAACAACTGCTCTTGCTGAAGCCTTGTTTCCTATTACTTATCTTTAGTTACTGTAAAGACCCCTCCACCCCCCCCACCCCACCCCCCCGCCGCCGGTCCTCATTCCGATTGTGTCCCCCCACTTCTAAAGACACATTTTGATACCAAGGGTGTTTCTCAATGCCAAGGAACCTTGCCTTGATGTCGTGGCCCTGCCCCGGTTGCTTAGGAGATGCGTCATCTTCTAATTGGATTTACATCTTAACATTTTTGTATTTAATCCTCATTTGCAGCCAGGAGCGTTTCATTCTGCTGATGTTGCTGCTGATGTCAGCGTTATTAATAAGTGTAATTATAATTTAAATCAGCTTTAGTCTGGGATGGACCCGCATCATTAACTCTTTATGGATGTGTTAAAACAGCCTTAAACTACCTTACAGCTGCTAACATAACACGTGTCAAAGGAAATACTTTATTGATGTGACTATATATTTACTCTGGTCACAAACACGCTAATATTTCATGTAAATGACATACGTGATGTTTTGTCCTCGGTGTGTAATACGAGTGCTAAACGGTTTACAGCGTTAACTTTAGGGTCATGTGACCACCACGAACGTATAATCCTAAAACTCACAGCTGCTCAGCTAAAATCAAGTCCTCCAGTCTAAAAGCATCCAGACTCTAGAGCAGAACATGAAAACGACACATAAATGATGAAAACTTGAATAAAATATGTGGAGAAACAAGAGCTGAAGCAGACTTCTGGCGTTGCCATGGAAACATGTTAATTCTGCACATTCTAACTATATAGCGCCGGTTACACAGCTTTAATCAAACAGCTCATGGTCTCTATTTTAGTTCTGATATCTTTGTAGTCCTTGTAGGCATGAATGAATAATTATTGCTGCGTCTGGATTAGGGCTGGGCGATATGGACTAAAACTTATATCTCGATATCTTTTTGCCGAATTCCATTATACGATATATATCTCGTTATTTTTCCTCCTTTAAAATATTTACAAGTTAACTAACTTCAAGCTGTCTTGAGAAATTATGCATAAATCAGTAGATTAAATGCATGAAAATGTAATGATTATTGTCAGCCTTTAACTTAGTGCCTATTCTCTACCAGTCTGAGCTCTAGAAACACTGGTACAGCTGTCTGTTAGCACACACACACACACACACACACACACACACACACACACACACACACACACACACACACACAGTTGAGAGCTAGAGGTGTATCAAATGTCCCACAGGCACTTTTTAATTATATATTTATAATTAATGTAATATTATTGTATCGTATATTTCTTGTCCAGAGAAAAAATAAATATCATGTTAAACTAAATGTATGATGATGTAATTGCATCTGCTGAAGATCACATGGGTCATGCTCCGTGGAGTTATTAGTTATCAGGGCAAACATGGCTGGACTCTAACAGGATTGGCTCATATCAGCGATTATACTGTAATGGCTCAGAGTCGCTGGTTGCTGTTTTATGAGTATTATTTTCGGGCTACTGTCGCCGTAACCCACGCCTTCCAAACTCAACTTTTTCAACAGAATCACTCGTAACGGAGTATTTACTAGCATAACAAACCAGAGGGGAAAAAACAGAACTGGAACAATGGGAGAAGGGGCTCCCGGATGCCCCTCTGGGACAGAGCCAGCTGGGTATATCATGGACTCCTAGAAACAGTGGAACCTGATAGGCCTCTCTCAACTGTCTGTAGAGGATTCTGAAGATGTTTGGATATTCGTCGTTTTGGTGTTGAGATTCCTGCAGTTTGGCCTGAGCGGTTACCTGGCTTACCGGAAAATTTAACGAGCTTTCGAGGAATATTGGCTCAATCCCGGAGCTCAGGGATGGAATGCATCGTGCTGTGAACGCACAAACTCATATAATTGTCGAGTTGAGTCGTAAGCTTGGAACTTTGGCTGAGATTCAGGCTCTGGCACAAAAGGTGGATACCATCAAGGAGCGAGTGGACGGATCGGTACAGATTGGGATAGATTAATTACGCCATTATTGGACCTGGAGGGGTTGAAGACCATCAGAACTTCAAGACAGAGGAAATTATCTCTGTCTGGCCCCAAAACAATTTTTATCTGAATCTGGTGCCCTTGAGCCTGTGAGGCTGAAGTGAAAACTCCCCCTCAGAAGAAATGTGGAATGCTGCCGTCGCTATGGAAACTCTTTCTCCCTATCCCAGCCTGGGCGGGACTGTGACCGGTGAAGGCCGTGGAACCGTATCTAGGAGTCACTGTGCTCTCTAACCCATTATCTCCCTCCCCTGTCCAAACGGAGGTGATGAGCGCTGCCCCATGCGGCTGCACGCACTGATGTGAGGAGAGTCCCAACCCTACCTCCCCACCTAGTGGACACTTCTGTTGTGTGATGTCTGAAGTCTGTTGCATTTCTGTCTGAGGTGTTTTTGCATAGCAAAGCTGCCCTCCCTGTGGAGGGTAACTCTGAAGTGCCTTCTTTCCTCCCCCTGACTCTATCCTCATATTGTCACGTTGCGGCAGGAGGGGGTCGAATACAAAATGCAGAACCCAGAAAGACCCGAGGCAGGAGAGGTTGTAAGAAAATAAATTTGGAGCAAAATCCAAAAAGCACGTGATCTACGGCAACCTTAACTGTCAAATACATCGGAGCGGTGGCCCAAGCGGGAGCTTGTCATACAGCCAGATCATTAGAATTTAAATATTAATGTTTTAATTTCATGTTTATGAATATATATATATATATATATATATATATATATATATATATTTTATATATATATATATTTTATAAATATATATATTTTTTATAAATATATATATATTTTATAAATATATATATATATTTTATGCTATGGGGAAAATGAACGCCAATGTGGTGTGATGACATCATCAATATGTAAATTAGCACGTGACGTCATCTGGCGACATCTAGCGACTTTTGGGGGAACTTCAGCTACTTTCAGTCAAAAAACCGTTGGCAACACTTTCTACTTTCATAGAAGTTGTTTACACACATTTCACAGTACAAAGGTTTTATTAAGATTGGGTATGTACGGTTCTTCAGGGTCTGTGGCCACAGCAGAAGATCCAGCAGCTATCACCACCATCCAGTCTGCTGCAACCTTCACTGACCAACCCATCAAGTATCTGTTTAAAGCAGAAGGAGCTGGTGGACAGGTAGGATGCAGTTATCTGGATAGAGTAATATTTCCCTTAAGGTGGCATTTATAAGAGGGCCATTTGTGACTTCTTCGTCTAAACAAGTTGAACTTTAACATTTTATTTTGACAACAGGAAACAAATTCAGTGGAAACATTAGGAGAGCAAACTCTTTAAGTGCCCCAAAATGTAGAAATTAGGGCTGGACGGTATAGAAAAAAAGTATATTGATACATATATTTTAATATTGATCGATATTGATAATTATTGAAAAATATTTTAAAAATTGTAGAAAATATTTAGCGTGCACCCCTGGCCATTTTATTTTTGGTATTTTGATTTTTTTCTCCGCCCCTTCTCACTGCAACATCTTTAGCGCGGCCATAAACGACTATTTTAGTAGTCGACCAATCGTGTCATTTATAAAAGTTTAGCTTATTGCACCAGGATGCTCTAATATACCATTATTAGCTTCTAGTCTGAAGTGTGATCAGCTATGGGCCATCTAATAATAAAGACAAGATGAAAGCTTATCAGCTTTAATGAACTTGGTCTGCTTTACCGTAAAGATATTAAAGTTAGTTTATTTACCAGATTAATAACTCTGTTAAATCACATAAAGTAGGTTAAGATTTATCACAAAGAAAATGTTTTATGCTTTAAAAATATTACTTCAGTCAGCAACCTTTTTATTTTATCATAAATGCATTTTATTCTAATGTTTATTTTATTTGTGTCCAGCGAGAAACGGACACACACACCTTAAAAGTTGTGTAACTCTTCTTTTCCATCATGGTGGTGAAGTGGGACCAGCCTGTAAGCTCCACTGTAACGTAGCGGGATGAGATAAATCATTAGCATTTGTAATCAGAGCAAAAATACGTGACATACAAACGTGTTCTAAAGGTAACAACATCACCGTCTCTACTGGTGTTGCCGCAGCTATAAATACAGGTAACGCTGTTGATGTTAGCAGCTAACAAGAGGTAAGCTTAACGAGGCGACTCTGTTCTTCCTCTTAGATACTCGCGCATCGCCGATGTGCTCCTGTGATCGGAGAGTTTCGCTTTGCAGAGTTTGCACTATGTGGCTTTCTTTTGAATTAGTATAATGCTCCCAAACTTTTCAGATATGTTGCGACTCGACACTTTCTCCGATGATGAAGGCTGAAGGTCGGTTTACGCTTGACGCGTCCGCGAGGTCCGCACGGCTCCGCGTGGCGAAATTGCGTCATTTTCACAACCACGCCCCTCCACCGCGCCTCCGCACGGCCCAAAATTTCCGCACCGCGCACCTAGGAAATTTTCTAACTACGCGGATGGTGGGACGCGGAAAAATATGGCGGACCGGCAGGAACTAGTATGGCAGAGGTTGGTAAATACAGACATTTGTATGATTCAGCTCTCAGAGATCACCGTGATCAACATGTTGTTAATAATTCTTGGAGAGAAATAGCTCGCACTGTCGGAAAAGACGAGGACGCTGTTAAAAATGCTGAAATGCCATGTTGTAAACAGTAATTTTTACTTCTACTATGGTGTAGTGTTGGATGCATGCCGTAGAGCTCCATGCTGCCCCCTACAGTTTGGGAGAATATTGGCTCACCGCAGTGACGAGCCGCATGAACCATAAACGCTGCGAGTTGTGAAGCGCGTTCCATCCGCGAGCCGCATCACCGCGCGGAAAGTAAATGCGTCAAGCATAAACCAAGCTTTAGCTGGATGGCTGCCACTGCGCATGCGCTTTGGAGCAAAAGCGGCGGCTGAGCAGAAGGCAGGAAGCAAAAGCCGAACGTGCCGCAGCAGGCGAGATTAAAGAAAATGTTCATGAAAGAAGGTTTATTTTATTTGTCGGCGTTGTCGTGACGAGCCGACTGCATGGCAGCCCTAGACATCCTGCTGCGGCTGCCTCACGCTCTCTTTTGGCTTGAGAGGGGAGGGCCTGCTGACGTAGCGTGCCTGAGTCTGTGGTTTTGATTGGTTAGGAGTAAGTAGTGAGTCTAGTATGCTGCTACCTGATAGGTTATAATGAAAAACGTAAACTTTTTAATCAAATTTTATCGACCAGTATTTTTATCTATGGCACCACATGTCTATCGATAGATATATTGAACTATTGAATTATCGTCCAGCCCAGTAGAAATAATGTGGCACCTGTATAAACTAAATAAAAAACCTGCTATCAAGAAAAATGTGTCAGCAAAAGTTTTAGTTTTAAAGAAAAATGTTCCACATTTAGAAATTCATGTAACCGACCTAAACACTCAAGTGTGTGTGTATGCAGCTGTGGTATTGTAGCAGAGATGGGACTTGCGGCATCAACAAGTCATCTCCTTGCTGTGATTTTGTTCCGCTCAGCAACTGAACAAGGTTCATTTTCTGTGCTGATTGAAATCTCCTGGTTTAGTTGATGAACTGAAGAAAAACACAACATGGAGATGACTTGTTGATGCCATAATTCCACATCTCTGTTGACTAGACTTCTGGGGCTGATGTGCTTTGTTGCAGGTGACCTACCGAGTGATCCAGGTCTCGGATGGCCAGCTGGAGGCTCAGACAGATGGAGCTGCAGCAGTCAGTCTTGTCACTGGGTTCCCTGCAACAACACAGAGCGTCACACAGGTGAGCTCACACACCTTAGCTACAGGTGGATATCTCTGCCTTTTACGTTCAGACTTTTTACTCGCTAGTTTGAAACTTAGATTACAACATTTGGGGGGGGATCAGGACCGAATTAAAAGCCTAGCTTGATCTTACCAGTCCTAATGACGACCACTCCTAACGATGCCTAGTCCTAAGGAAGTCTAATGAGGACCAGTCCTAATGAATCCCAGTCCAACGGCCAGTCCTAACTACTACCAGACCTAATGAAACCTAACGATGCCCGGGCCTAACGAAGCATAATGAAGACTGGGCCTTTTGAGAGGGGCTTTATAAAAGAATATTTTCTCTACTTACCTGCTGTCGGTGGTTGGAGGGACCAGTGGCTTCTGTCGGTGTGTCCTGGTGTAGCTCGTCACCCTCAGAGGGTAAAGCAGGGCTATTCAATTCCAGGCCTGGAGGGCCGGTATCCACCACGTTTTGGGTTTAGCCCTGCTTCAACACACCTGATCACCATCACTGCAGGTCTTCAGGGGTAGCTTGAAGACTCGTTTTTATGCTTTGGCTTTTATGTAATATGGTTTTTAGACTTTTAGTCTTTTATCGTCTCTGATTTTTACATGCTGCTTTTATGGGTTTTATTGTTTTCTTAGTTTTATGTCCTGTTCAGCGCCCTGGGCTTGCGTAAAGGCAGTGGAAAGGCTGAACAATTCAAATTTGAGTGACCGATTTCAATCAGCAGATGATTAACGGGGTTCTGCAGAGCCTGATGAGCTGCTGCACAGGTGATTCAACCACTGAATCAATTGTGTTGGAGCAGAGAAACCACTAAAACATGCTGGACACCGGCCATCCGGGCCCGGAGTTGAATAGCCCTGAGGTTCTACTGTATAGCACTTAAATGTCCCAGATTAAGAGAAGTGCTATACATAAGGCAGGGTTTTTCCTGGCTCAAACTGAGGCAGCGGTGGTACCATCCTGACGGTGTGCCAGCTCATGCGTACTCCTGCATTCAACTGTTTCACTTTTTTAAAGGCAAAAATTATAAAAGGCACAATAATATGCATTAGATTTGTGTTTAGTTCCTTTTTCCCATCTGATATTTATAGTTGAGATATTTGACCTACATTTCAGTAACATGTTAGGTTTGTATTAATAACACTCATGTTAGTCAGAATAACACATAAATATATCCAGTAACATATAATGCATTTCATTAACATGCATTTGTGTTGGAAATGGTAATAACAATTAATTCCTGCTGCTAACAGTGTAATGGTGGCATGTCTATTAGTGCGACGGTGGCACAGGAGTTAAGAGCTCGCCCCATAATCGGAAGGTTGCAGGTTCGAGCCCCGTTCAGTCTGTCGCTGTCGTTGTGTCCTTGGGCAAGACACTTAACCCACGTTGCCTGCTGGTGGTGGTCGGAGGGACCGGTGGCGCCAGTGCTCGGCAGCCTCGCCTCTGTCAGTGCACCCCAGGGCAGCTGTGGCTACATCGTAGCTCATCCCCACCAGCGTGTAAATGTGTGTGTGAATGTGTGTGTGAATGGGTGAATGACTGGTTGTGTTGTAAAGCGTCTTGGGGGGTTCCAGGACTCTACAAGGCGCTATATCAAATACAGGCCATATTATGTACGGGTTTTCAATAATCCAGTTTAAATTATGTTCAAAGATAGAAGCGTTAGTGAATCATATACCACAACGGCTTGCCGTACGTCCTGCCCCTGTGTGTGGAGCAGACCTGTAGCAGTAATGTGACTCGTACCTGCAGCGGTTCTGGTCCGTAGCGCTGCAGGATGCAGAATAAACAGGAGGGTGGGGACTTTTCATCCACTTGTAGAGTTTAGTCTTTCTTAGTTTTACCATCATCATCATCATCATCATATATTTTTCTGTGCGCCACTTGATTGTGACACTGCTACCCGTTAGCTTTAGCATTAGCCAGTCTGCGTGTAGCGGCACTTTTGATCCCAAACTTTGGACCGGTTCTGCCTTTGTGCCTTTGCTGGTTCCTTTATTTTCCTCCACTGCATCCAGATGACCACACCGTGCGCCAGTAAAAAGCATTTTTCTTACACGTAACTTACTTTTGTTCAATAAAGTTCTGGGGAAAATAGTAATTCAAAGATGTTGCACCAGTGCTACGTTTAAAAACAGACACGCACAGACAGGTACAGCCCTGCTCCGATATGGAGGAGCCTGGGGGAAATCAGGACGTTAATACCACCAACCATAGATACGTACCACCTAGCGAGAAAAGCTATTTTTGTTCTTTGTCTGCAGCGGTTTTAGCGCATATCAGTGCACCGCTGCTGATACAGCGCCCTTGTAGTGGCGCAACGCTGTAACTGCAGTTAAAATAACATCCATATAGCTGGGGCAGAGTGAAATCAGGCTGGGGCGGCACAAAATTAGCTAGAGGCGGCTGCCACGCTAATTTCAACGCAGGGAAAACCCTGATATAAGTGCAGTATAAGCTCTGCAGAACACAGAGTGCTTTTACAAGAGCTTTAAAATATTTTATTACCAGTGAGCCAGTCTTTGTCCACACTTGTTCTGTAAAAGCACCTCTCCTGCTGGTTTTAGGCTGTGATTTCCCAGTCAGAGGGATTGGAGGGGGATGGCAGCACGGAGACACAGTATGCCTATTACCCTGCCTCCATCGCAGATGCCACTGCTGGCACCATGGTAACCACAGTGCAGGCACCAGAAACGCTGCTGGGACAGTCCACCCCCACAGGTAATCACTGCTCAGGTGTGGAGTGTTGTTGTTCCTCTTGTTTACTAATTTTATCTAAACGCAAACAGCAAATGTGAGTGCAAGAGGGAAAGTCTTGAGGATAGACGAGTCTGACTGCAGCTGAGCTGACTAGAAGCTTTTGGTTTGCAGGTCAGCTTTATGTGATGATGTCCCCCCAAGAGGTTTTGACAGGAGCCAATCAGAGGACCATTGCACCTCGTACTCAGCCATACATTGCGTAATTACTTCCATATTTATTCAAATTCACTCAGAATACTGAATAACTCTGGCAGCTGGTTGCTCTAGCCCTGTTATAGTCCAGTGCCTCGTTTCAACATGAACTATGGAGTGAATTAAATACAGACTCCATCTACATACATTTTCCATCTCTGATGATAAAGAAGACGTAACTAATCTAACGAGACTTCATTTATTTGTGTTTTGCAGAAAGCAGGAGGCTCCTCGAGCTTCCAGGGATGAGAAACGACGAGCCCAGCACAACGAAGGTCGGCGCTTCTATCCAGCACTCAGTTTGCTGCTGAACCTTTTAGCCACATATAAAACGTTTGTCTAACAAATCTTCCACCAGTTGAGCGCAGACGTAGGGACAAGATTAACAACTGGATCGTGCAACTCTCAAAGACCATTCCAGAGTGTAACATCGACTACACGAAGACGGGGCAGGTGAGTGTGGAGTCCGTCTCCAGCTGACCGGAGTCGCGTAGGAAAATAACCACTGTTGTAAAGTTTGAGTCGCCGTCTTTTAAAGTCCTCTTTCTGACTTTTGTTTCCTTCAGAGTAAAGGAGGCATCTTATCAAAAGCTTGTGATTACATAAAGGAAATGCGACAAAGTAACATGAAGCTGGGGGAAGAGCTCAGCATTCGGGACCGTCTGCGAGTCGACAACCAGCTACTCAGACAGGAGGTGTGTGTGTGTGTGTGTGTGCGTGTGTGTTTTACAATGACCTAAATACTTGTTTCTGATTGGATCAAGAGGATGAAGAAAACTTGTTAAGTTTGTTGTGAAAAGTCTGGCTTCTTGCATACATCGAATGTCAGAACACACAAATATGATGGATTCACTGGTTTCAAACTAAAGGTCGACCGATATCGGTTTTCTATTACCGATATGAGGCGGTCGTGGTCAACCGATGGCCGATAAGTGCTGCCGATTTTTTTTGGCTGATTTCATGGCCGATATCTGGATGTTTGGCACCTTATCAGATAGCTTAATTATCACTAATAACAGCTGTGGAGGCACAAGATTTCTGAACCTAATCTGTTTAACGCTGGATTGAACAAACCGTTGAATCCTGACTTTGTGCACTGCTCAGTGGTAAAATCAAACATTATAACAAGATTGATAAAAATACCAATAAACTGACCAAGTATTCAGTAAACAAAACAGGCAAATAAAGAAATGTCAGTTGATAATGTTTCAGAGCGTTTATTAAGCAGATGTTTTATAGGGATGTACACATGTACATGTAAGTAAAAATAAATGCACCTTTAGAATAGAAAGACCGATTTTACAGGAAGGGGCGGGACTAGTCAGCTCAAAAATAACCAATCAGAAAAAAGACTGAACTGCCGACTGTACCGCACAACGCTGTAGATTTTAAGTTGTAGTAAAAAATGGCGTCTGGCAACGGCGCAAACGTCTTTTATTTTTTTTTTAGAAGAAATGCTTTTAGGGCTTCTACTTGAGGTTTTAAAGACATTCAAGTCATTAGAACAGAGGAAAGAGCCGCAGCTGACTGCGCCGCTGTCTTTGTTGTTTATGAGAAACTGAGCGTCGCTGTGTGTGACGTCTGCGACGCTGTCGTTCTTTAGCTGTAGTCAGAAATGGCGTCTGGCGACAGCGCAAACATCTTTGTTTAGAAGAAAGGCTTTTAGAGCTTCTACTTGTTGTTGTTTTTAAGACGTGTCCAAGTCATTTAGACCAGAGGAAAGAGCCTCAGCCATCTCCGCTTCAGTCGACATGTTTATGACAAACTCAGCGTGGTGGTGTGTGACGTACTCAGCGCTGATTGGCTCGGTTAGAATTCTCAGGGGGCGGGGTTCCCAGACCTTTCTCTGTGCAGAGTTAAACAGAGGAGGAGTCTGGCAGGTCGGGCTAATTTCATTACCCGTAAAACGTTTATTTATGCAACTTTGGTCAAAGGTTTCCGAAGTTGTGTTGTATCGGTTATTTGGGTTTTTTGGGCTCGCACCCACCAGTGACATCACAGCAGATTCTGTAGAAGAAGTCCTCAGACCAGAGTAACGATCACGCCTAGACAGATCAGTTTTTAGCCCGTTTCCTGCTCTCGCTCAAAAGCATTGTCCTGATGCGTCTGACTGTAAACCTCTACTCTTGGCCACTTGTTTAGCTGTGTGGTGCTGATTTTGCATGTCTGCTGCTGCACAAGCTAAACTGTCTGGTCTTACCAAGGTTTCACCAGCCTGGGTGATCATGAGCATTTATCATAATTACTCTGCCGACTAGAAACTTTAACCCACTGACCAAGTCAAAACAATCCCGTCATAATCTGGTTTCATCAGCAGTTTTAATCTGTAAAGTGACAACAATGACCTAGTCCATCACTTAATGTTCACTCTTTTTGCTATTCGGTCCAAATGAGTGGAACAGAGAGTCCACACGGTGCTGACATACATCAGGTAACCTTTTCCCTGCATGCATTAAAACTACTGAATGTGGCACCAGTAGCTACGGATAAACAATGAAATGAAATGTTTAAAACAAATACTAACTCACTGAAGGAGGGGTTTCCTGGTCCAAATCCTGCAGCTTATGCCCCTGGTGCACCAACGGTTCACTGGTGTGTGACCACTGCAGGTCACTAACATGCTCCAAAGCCTCGTGTCCACAACTCATCATAAAGCGAGATGCATGGAGTGCGATGTCTGGGTCAGATTACACCAGGAACAATCTTTATTTACCTCTGGGATGTACTCGGTGTGTAAGGTTGACCATGACTAGTTTACATTAGCCAGTGTGACGCTACAGAAAATGCCATCTTGTGTGGCCTTGTTAAAAATTTTTACCCCATCTGAATTGTAATCTGTCAAAATTACCAATAAAAAAAAGGTCTGACAGATTACCAGCCCTGGTCCTCGCTGTAGATGAAGAACTAATAGAACATCACTCAGAAACACATCCCTGTGATGCCTGCTAACATCACGTACTATGTGGAGAAGAACGTTTCTGTAACGTCTTTAGAGGGTAACTTATCCATGGATGTCTCCATGTTTTAGGCTGGTAACTCATTTGTACCTCCAAGCACATTACTTCTACATTTAAATGGGTCCTTATTACTAATTCTCCGTACTTGGCTTGGTTTCTGTGCAGGTGGAAGACTGGAAATCCAAGAATCAAATCCTGAGAAACCTTTTGCGGCAGCACGGCATTGTGGGGTCATCCAGCACAGAACTTCAGTGAGGATCCTGCTCCTGGTCCTCCAGCGGAGCGTTACTTTGGGCCAAAAGAGTACTTATTACCAAGCATACACAAGATAAAGTCTACTAATGTCATGAATATTCAGATACAACTTTTAACTTTGGTTTAGGATTGCTTTTGGAGCATTTCACAGCGTATAAGTCTTTAAACTTGTAGTTTTAACAGCAGATTTCCAACATGTTAGGCTTTAAGAAAAAGAGACAAAGTTTTTACTGAGTTGTTTAAATCCTCACTAAAGGCCTTTTCCCAGACTGTTCAGCAGTCTTCAGTACAGTAAAGGCTAAACCTGAGAAGTTCAGTCTTCTGTTTGGCTTGAACTCTCCTGTACTGTTCTTATCAAATGCACTCATGCAGGCCTTTTTAAAGTGCCATGTATTCATGTCTTTTATCATCGCCAGTTTGTTCGTTTAGGTCCCAGTTCATTCAGATCAGAGATTTAATCTTTGGTTTTATGAGTCATCACCAGGGACACTAATCACATCGCAGCTAAGGAAGGTACACTTTGCATTGTAGGAAGTACTAAACATGTCTTTATAATAAAATACGACAAAGATGTGCTGTGCCTCTTCATTTTGCAGCCTTTTTGCTCCCGTGCAGCACACCTAGAGGAATTCTGTAGTGTGCATTCATACGTTTACTCAGGTCACGTGAATGCATGGACGTAATTTTTGGGGAGGACAGGGGGGACATGTCCCCCCCACTTTTTCCAAAGTCAAGGTTTGACCCCTGCACTTTTTACCATCCAAAAACAATATTACGCTATATTAAATTGACACTAGTTGAGCTCTAGCACCAAGCAGAAAACAACCGTTTGTGTTGAAGCCTGTTTCCCATTAGAGCATACTGTAAAGATTCACACACACCCCTCCCCACTCCGTGTCCCCCCCACTTCTAAAGTGAAAATTACATCCATGAGTGAATGTTTTACTTTGAAGACTTTTACAAGTTTTGTCGGTACAAGTGGAGAGGGGTTTCTTTGCCAACATTTCTGCACTCCAGCAGTAAAAGTAGTGTGTGTTGATTGCAGGTTTGGGACGGGACACACACTAGTGTTAACGTTAACACACACAGCTGGAACAGACGATACACACAGGCTTTTTCAGCATGGAACAAACCACCACCTCTCTGCACCTCTGGACCATTTTCTAAATTAGAATTGGAATGTTTTACATTTTCCATCTGAATCTGTTCATTTATGTAAAGAGAAAAGAGTCCCAGAATGGATCCATTCCCATGAACAGAGAATGAACTCATCCAGTTGATATTATTGATCATTTTAGTCTCCACTATGTTTTCACCATTGCACTCATTGTCCTTAATTATAACTTCATACAAGTGTGGCGAAATGGGTCAGTACTAAGTAGAGTATTAAAAAGCTGCAACAGGGAACTGAAAGGACGTAGGTCCGGTGCACACACACAGGAACAGACTGCTTTTAAATACAATAATTTCACAATTCATATAAACACATACATATAAAAATATACTAAATTAAAAAGGGAGGTGCTACACATCAGTCAAGTGAAACAGGGAAAACCTAAATAAAGCCCGAGCTGGCTCAGTTAAATGTATCCGGACACAGATATAAGGATAACATGCAAAGATAGATAAACACAAACAGGAAATCCAAAGTCACCCTGAAGCACAGCAAACATTAATATAACTCCTTTAAATGGGTCCGGATACACCTGTAACCTGTGTGGGAGATCCAGTGGTTGCCATGGCAATGAGACGCTCTGCAGCCCCGCCCAGCAGCGGGCTAAAAAAAAAAAAAACAAGGATTAACGAAACAGCAGTGTGGAGCCTTGGGACGCACTGCTTGGATCCAGACGTCAGGAACGCCAAGGTGAATCAGCGAGGGACCCAACAGCCCAGGTGGCGGAGCCGTCGACGCAGACAACCCGCAGCCGGCACGGCAGGTTGACCGCGCTCTGACGAGCTGGGAAGGAGATCAGCTGCCCAGGAAAGCAACCTCCATACAGGAAGAGGCCACGCTGGTTATGCACCTGCTCTGGCTGCTAAGGTTGGAGCTGCGTAAGGCGTCAGCTTCCAGCCAGCACTCAGGTCGCAAACGGCAGATCGCCATCTCAGACACGCTCGGTGCTGAGGATTACAATCAGAGAGCTGTCTGTGAGCAGCAGGCATCTGCCTCTTATGAAGGCAGCGTGCCCCGCCCCACAGGACGTCATCCACCTGGACAAATCTCCATGAACCAAATCCCACCACATAAGGACTTACTGACTGATAAATAGCGGTTAAATAAATCTGGGGTACTGTACATTATACTAAGAAGGGTGAATTTCCCAATTTAATAATGGTTGGTTATGTATATTACACAGGAATTTTCAGTAAAGTAAGATGTTTTATTTTTTTAAACTTTATCATAACCATATGTATTAAATTAAATGACCGTTTTAGTGCTACCAAATTTATTTAAAGAATTCAAAGCCGTTAAAATGCCAACAAAAAGGAAAATCGCTCACAGGTATTTTTGCCTTCACGGCTTCCGTAGTCCTTAGTAGCGGTGCAGCTTGGGGGACACATACCGACACAACACCGGAACCGTGCGTACACACCGTGAACCAGAACTACATCTGAGCCCGCGGAGAGCACATCTCCAGGCTGCACCAGGACACCATGATCTGCATCCTGCTGGTGGCTGGACACGGAACAGTTTTAGAGACAGAAATCAAGGTAAAGCTGCTGTTTGTCACTGATCTGCAAGCAGTTCAAAGTTCACAGCTGATAAAAGCAGCCAGTGATTATCCTTCAAACCGTAAAAACGGACGAGTCCTGTTCCTCTCAACCATGTTTGGACCAGAGCTCCAGACACCAGACTGCTAAGACATTAACCCGGTTCTGATTTGTGAATGTTTTAGGAAAAGTCATTGTAGTGCCTTTCTTTTTTCTTTTGCGTCTGGACCCGGGGGCGCACTGGGACAAAAATCCAGCCCTGAGCGCTGGAATGTCTCCGTGGGTCCAGCCGTCTGCGCGCGGGGGGTGGGGGTCGCGGATCACGGGTGTGATCGACGGGTGGGAGCAGTTCTTGAAGTAGAGAAAAATAAGTGCTGCTACCCTCTTAGAAAAAACATATTTAATCCGCTCTTAAAGCAAAAGCACTGTTTGGCATCTGGACCACACTGGGACCGGTCCAGATCAAACACCACAGAGAAAAAAAGTCTGAATTCTGAGATTAAAGTGACAGTGTGCATTCTTCCTCGTGATAGGGGCAGTAGATACCTAAATCCTTGCAATCAAGCATTTTTGTGTAAGACCTTACCAACCGATGTCCATTAGGGTCAAAAATCCTTGAGAGTGCAACCTCCAGCAAAATCAGAAGAACATGGGGCAGCAGTAGCTCAACAGGTTGAGCGGGTTGTCCAGTAATCAGAAGGCTGCAGGTTTGATCCCGGCTCCGGACAGAGAATTCTGCTGTTGTGTCCTTGGGCAAGACACTTAACCCACGTTGCCTGCTGGTGGTGGTCGGAGGGACCGGTGGCGCCAGTGCTCGGCAGCCTCGCCTCTATCAGTGCGCCCCAGGGCAGCTGTGGCTACATTGTAGCTCATCTCCATCAGTGTGTGAATGGATGAATGATACACTGTAGTGTAAAACACTTTGGAGTCCTTACTCTGAGAGGCATTTATCAGATTCCTTTTCATCACTTGCAACGAGTGAAGAGGTAAATGTGTAAAAGAACATTGGTTACGTATTGTAACCCCAGATTCTATGAGTCTAGTAGCAGCCCTTAAGCTAGCTGCTATTGGAAGGGTGATCTCAGCATCAGCCAATCATGAAGAGCTTAAATGTACGCCGACCAATGGTGGGCACCCCTTGTGGGTATATAAGTGGAGCGACTCCACTGTTCGCCTCCGATGGCTCTTAGTCCTAACAGAACCAGTGGGGCCAGTGGCTTAAGGGCTGCGACTAGACTCATAGAATCTGGGGTTACAATACGTAACCAACGTTCTATTTCGTCTAGTCTTAGCCCTTAAGCTAGCTGCTATTGGAATAATGCGCAGCTGGATGGGTTTACGCCACACTGGTTAGCTCAACCAATGGACACACCCAACATGTCTCCTTTTAGTGAGGGTCGCTCAGCCTCAGCCCAGGGCTTAAAAGGCTGAGGCAGCCAGAGAGAAGAGTGGGGCCACCACTAAAAAATATCATCCTCAAGAGGATGAAATTCATTCAAGTAGGGCTGATGTGGTGCCATAATGCTTTCACTCAGCCTGCTGAGGTCCAAGCACTGAACAAGTGATGGATCCTGAAGACACATCTCGTAAATAATAACGAGTAAAGGAACAGGGGGAAGTCCATGAAGCAGCCTGACAAATGTCTTCCATCGACACACCACTGTGGAGCGCCATAGAAGGCTGAGTGAGCCCTGAGTGTCTCAGGGGGATCCCACCCTGATGAAATGTAAGCGAGTGAAAGAACAACGTTTATTAATGCTGAAGGTTTTGTAACCATTTGTTTCTGATCAGTAAATGCATTCTGTCCTTGTTACAACCCCAACATGTGCTGTTAAAATGTGAAGGAGGGGGTAACAAAAGAAACATGACATTGGACTTTAAAATGGGTTTAATTGTCAAAAGGTTTAAAAACAAGTGCAAACATATGGTAAGCATTATTAAAATAATGCTAAACAAAAAAATACTCAAAAAGTTTAACATTAAAAGACCAATAACCAACATTAAAACACCTAGTTAAAACCTATGTTAAAAGTTTTGGTAACGCTTCCTTTTACAGTCCCCTAATTACTAAGTACTTAGATGGTAATTACTAGGCATGAGCCAGACACTCGTTTCAGACGAACAAATACAGATAGTGGTGTACTCGCTCATCCCTAGTAATTACATACAGGGAGTGAAGAATTATTAGGCAAATGAGTATTTTGTCCACATCATCCTCTTCATGCATGTTGACTTACTCCAAGCTGTATAGGCTCGAAAGCCTACCAGTTAAGCATATTAGGTGATGTGCATCTCTGTAATGAGAAGGGGTGTGGTCTAATGACATCAACACTGTCAGAGTCCAAGCCCCCAGGCCGGGCTCTCCCAGCTGACCGGCTTCTGTCTCGGACCATTACCCAGCATGCCCCTCGCGGGGATTCCCTCCACGATGCACCTGCTTCATCCATGTCTATATATGGAAGACGCCACACCGGCTCTTCACTCAGTCATCGTTCCACCGTGTTCCATGATCAGAGTATTCAGAAGCTAAGACAGTTAAACCTCCACCTTTTTAACTCAGACCTCATCCTTCCGTCAGCCTTTTCAGCACCGCTTGCAGCCAGCAGTCTCTAATAAAAGCTCTTACTCCCGAACCCAGTCTTTGAGTCTGACAGGATGACTGAGTCCATTAATCCAGCGGAGTTCGAGCAGATGAAGAGGAAGTTGGAGCAGGTTGTTAGCGAGAACGTTCAGCTCCACGCCCTGGTCGACCAGCTTAACACCAGGCTGAACTCCCAGACCGATCTCTCCCTGCAGATGTCTACTGCCGTCACGGCACTCCAGCAGCAGGTTCATGCGCTCCAGTTGCAAGCCCTCACTCCACCGACGGGAGAGCCACACTTCAGTCTCCCGTAGAAGTGGAATGGAGAGACGGGGAGTCCAGACGGTCTGCTTGCTACCCTCGACATGCAGTTCGAGTGCCACCCAGGACGTTTCCCCACTGCCCGCTCTCGGGTGGCACAGCTCACCTCCCTGCTCTCCGGACACGCGGCAGAGTGGGCTGCTGCGCTCTACAACTCCAAATCACCGGAGTGCAGCGACTACGCTGCATTCGTGGCCGCTCTCAGAAAGACTTTTGTTCCACCCAGCAGCGAAATGGGGGCAGAGACACGACTCCTAAAACTCCGCCAGAAGGAGCGCTCTGTGTGCGCATATGCGTCGGAGTTCTGCATCATCTCCGCCAAGCTGCGGTGGGATGACTCTGCCCTCCGAGCCGTCTTCTTGGAGGGACTGGCAACCTACATCCGGGATGAGATGGCGGGAAAGGAGCTACCCCAGACCCTGGATGAAGTTGTGGACCTGGCGTTGCGCATGGATCAGTGGGTTTTGGTTCGGCCCAAGCCTCTCATTCGCCCATCCAGGGCGCCTGGACTTTTTCCTCGTCCCCCCACGCCTACTCCCGGACCCGTTGCCACTGAGGAGCCCATGCAACTGGGCCACCTTCCTCCGGAGGAGAGACAGCGACGGTGGCGCGAGGGCCTCTGCGCCTATTGTGGTTCCCCCGACCACAGACGCATGAACTGCCCCCTCCGTTCGGGAAACGAAGGAACCCACTGAGTCCCGGGGTCGCTCAGCCTGGGTCACCTCCAACCCCTGCCCTTTCCAATCGGCTCCTTCTGCACGTCACCCTCCAATATGGCGAGACCTCGCTCCAGATGCACGCGCTGGCGGACTCGGGGGCCGCGGACAATTTTATGGATGTGGATCTGGCTGAACGCCTACGGATCCCCACTACCTCCTTGGAGAGGGTTGTACCAGTGACCACGGTGGACGGCAGGCCCCTCCAGCCTTACCCTGTCCAAAACCGAACGCAGTCTCTCCAGATGACAGTCCAGGGCCACCAGGAGACCCTCCATTTCCTGATTATCCGTGCTCCCTCCTCTCCTCTAATCCTGGGGTTTCCCTAGCTCCGCCTCCACGACCCACGGATCTCCTGGTCCCAAGCTCGCCTTCTGGAATGGGGGGCCCAGTGCCAGACCCACCTCTCTCCTCCTCCACCTCGACCTGACTGCCCGGAAGGTGGCTCCGGTTCAGCGCCACCCAATCTGCCACCGCCCTATCGGGATCTGGCCGCGGTGTTCGATAAGCAGCGAGCCACCGCACTGCCGCCTCACCGTCCATACGACATGGAGATCAAGCTCCAGCCAGGAACCATTCCACCCCGGGGGCGCCTTTTTTCTCTCTCTCCCGCCGAGTCCAGAGCTATGGAGGACTATATCGACCAGGCCCTCCAGCAGGGTTTCATCCGACCCTCGTCGTCCCAAGGTGCTGCAGGCTTCTTCTTTGTGAGGAAAAAGGAGGGTGATCTCCGCCCCTGCATTGACTACAGAGGACTGAACAAGATCACAGTCAGAGATCGCCATCCTCTGCCGCTCCTCACGTCCGCCCTGGATGCCATCTCCCAGGCGCGGATTTTCACCAAGCTGGACCTCCGGAGCGCCTACAACCTGGTCCGTATCAAAGGTGGAGATGAGTGGAAGACGGCGTTCATCACCCCCACCGGTCACTGGGAGTACCAGGTCATGCCCTTCGGACTGTGCAATAGCCCAGCCGTTTTCCAATGCTTCATCAATGATGTCCTCCGTGACATGTTGGGACGGTGGGTGTTTGCCTACCTGGACGACATCCTGATATACTCCAAGTCAGAGGCTGAACACCACCACCATGTTCGCGCGGTCCTGACCCGGCTCCTGGACAACAACCTGTTCACCATCTGGACTGACCACCAGAACCTAACAAACATACGGTCCGCCAAGCAGTTAAATCCTCGCCAGGCACGCTGGGCCCTCTTCTTCGAACCCTACGAGTTCCATCTCGCTTATCGCCCTGGGACAAAGAACCAGAAGGCAGACGCCCTCTCCCGCCAGTTCACCCATTCAGCGCCCACGTCCGAGCCGGCGCCCATCCTCCCGGAGCACCGTTTTGTGGCCCACCTTGGGTGGCCGTTGGAGGATGCCATCCAAAACGCCCTCCAGGGTGACCCAGCGCCACCAGAGACCCCCGCCGGTCGGCTCTACGTCCCCTCGGCCTGTCGCAGTGAGGTGTTGTCCTGGGCCCACTCATCACGCCTGTCTGGTCACGCAGGCTTCTCTCGGACTCTCAGGTTCCTTAAACGGGCTCTCTGGTGGCCACGTATGGAGAAGGATGTTAAGGAATACACGAGGGCTTGTGACGTCTGCACCCGCTCTAAGGCATCCACCCAGGCTCCGGTTGACACCCTCAGACCTCTTCCGGTGCCCAGCCGCCCCTGGTCCCATGTGGGGCTGGACTTTGTCACGGGTCTCCCGCCGGTCAATGACCTCGACACCATCCTGACGATCACTGACCGGTTTCCCAAGGCTGTTCACTTCATCGCCCTCCCGGGCCTCCCCTCGGCCCGACGCACTGCAGAACTGTTTCTGGAGAACGTGGTGCGCCTCCACGGGTTCCCGGTCAACGTGGTCTCGGATCGTGGTCCCCAGTTCACGGCCCGTTTCTGGAAAGCCTTCTGCCATCTAGTGGGAGCCTCTGTCAGCCTGTCTTCGGGCTACCACCCACAGACCAACGGTCAAACGGAGCGGGCAAACCAACAGTTGGGCCGGTACCTCAGCTGCTTTGTCTCGGCGCAGCCCTCGCAGTGGCCTAAGTACCTCCTCTGGGCGGAGCTGTCTCATAATCTCCACACCTCCTTGGCCACTCAGATGTCCCCTTTCGAGGTCTGCTATAGCTATCAGCCCCCGGTCTTTGCCCACCAGGAACCCGAAGTCGCGGTGCCGGCCGCTCAATCCCTGGTGAGGCGCTGCAAAAATGCATGGATCAAGGCGCGGGCCTCCATCACCCGGGCCAACGCCCGTTACTCCCACCAACACCTCCGCAGGCACCGCCCGGGCCCCTCCTATGCTCCAGGGGACAGGGTCTGGGTGTCCACGGCAGGCCTCCGGGTCCGCGCCGGTTCCAGGAAGCTCGCTCCCCGGTTTCTCGGACCCTACCCCGTGCAGAAGGTCATCAACCCGGACACGTACCGGCTGCCTACAAGCCTTCGTGTCCATCCCACCTTCCACACCTCCCGGCTCAAACCTTATGTGGAATCCTCACTCCTGCCGCCTCGGGCTCCGGCGCCTCCGCCGGCCCGCTTCCTCGACGGTGAGCCCATCTACACCATCCGGCGCATTCTGGACGCTCGCCGCCGGGGTCGGGGTTGGCAGTACCTTGTGGATTGGGCGGACTACGGCCCCGAGGAACGCTCCTGGGAGCCGGCCCGCTCCATCTTGGACCCTGCCCTCATCTCGGACTTCTGGGCCCACCGAGGTGGCCCGGGGACTTCTGGAGCCGTCCCTGGACCGGGGGGTCCTGTCAGAGTCCAAGCCCCCAGGCCGGGCTCTCCCAGCTGACCGGCTTCTGTCTCGGACCATTACCCAGCATGCCCCTCGCGGGGATTCCCTCCACGTTGCACCTGCGTCATCCATGTCTATATATGGAAGACGCCACAACGGCTCTTCACTCAGTCATCGTTCCACCGTGTTCCATGATCAGAGTATTCAGAAGCTAAGATAGTTAAACCTCCACCTTTCTAACTCAGACCTCATCCTTCCGTCAGCCTTTTCAGCACCGCTTGCAGCCAGCAGTCTCTAATAAAAGCTCTTACTCCCGAACCCAGTCTTCGAGTCTGACAAACACCCTATATCAGGTGTATATAATTATTAGGCAACTTCCTTTCCTTTGGCAAAATAGGTCAAAAGAAGGACTTGACAGGCTCAGAAAAGTCAAAAACAGTGAGATATCTTGCAGAGGGATGCAGCAGTCTTAAAATTGCAAAGCTTCTGAAGCGTGATCATCGAACAATCAAGCGTTTCATTCAAAATAGTCAACAGGGTCGCAAGAAGCGTGTGGACAAACCAAGGCGCAAAATAACTGCCCATGAACTGAGAAAAGTCAAGCGTGCAGCTGCCAAGATGCCACTTGCCACCAGTTTGGCCATATTTCAGAGCTGCAGCATCACTGGAGTGCCCAAAAGCACAAGGTGTGCAATACTCAGAGACATGGCCAAGGTAAGAAAGGCTGAAAGACGACCACCACTGAGATAAAAGTCAGACTTATCTTTCTTTTCTTTTTTTCCATTTTTTCCTTCTCAGTGGCCGTAATCCTCTTCTGTATCCAAGCGAGGAGCGGCAAGCTAGGCTCACGTGCGTCCACAGGCAGGCCTTGTTAATCGATGCTAGATAAATGAGAATGGAAGGAAAGGACTGAGCCTCGTTCTTCTCCCAGACAGAGCGATAATTATTCATTCATGCCTACGAGGACTACAAAGATGTCAGAACTAAAATAGAGACCATGAGCTGTTTGATTAAAGCTGTGTAACCGGCGCTATATAGTTAGAATGTGCAGAGTAAACATGTTTCCATGGCAACACCAGAAGTCCACTTCAGCTCTTGTTTCTCCACATATTTTATTAAAGTTTTCATCATTTATGTGTCGTTTTCATGTTCTGCTCCAGAGTCTGGATGCTTTTAGACTGGAGGACTTTATTTTAGCTGAGCAGCTGTGACTTTTAGGATTATACGTTCGTGGTGGTCACATGACCCTAAAGTTAACGCTGTAAACCGTTTAGCACTCGTGTTACACACCGAGGACAAAACATCACGTGTGTCATTTACATGAAATGTTAGCGTGTTTGTGACCAGAGTAAATATATAGTCACATCAATAAAGTATTTCCTTTGACACGTGTTATGTTAGCAGCTGTAAGGTAGTTTAAGGCTGTTTTAACACATTCATAAAGAGTTAATGATGCGGGTCCATCCCAGACTAAAGCTGATTTATAATTACACTTATTAATAACGCTGACATCAGCAGCAACATCAGCGCAATGAAACGCTCCTGGCTGCAAATGAGGATTAAATACAAACATGTTAAGATGTAAATCCAATTAGAACTCAATTTTACAAGTTTTATTTATTAATAATTTAGCCATCAAGAACAAAGCTGCTGCTACCGCTGTGGGCCAGCGGTGGCGCTACTCACCTCCTCGTGGCTGCCAGCCACCCACAGGAAAATGGTGGCGTCACTCGCCTCGTCCAATCATACTCACAAAGCGTCAGTAAGCCTAGCTGCTAGCAGGCGTGTTCTCCAGCATGTGTTACCATGGTGACCGGGAGGGCTTTCAGGCTAGCCACGTTCGTAGACCCGATTTAGGGGCGGTTACACCGGGAATCCCACCAGAAAGCCTGGTTTTGGGAAAATCGTGCTTTCTGGAATACCTGTAGGACTGGGTTATCATTGTTGTTGTTATTATTATTCTAATAGCAAATTCCTTAAATGTGGTTTCTGATTAGTGAAACTTGGATGAAAGCCCATTTCTACGTGGATTTATTTTGTGGCCCTCTTGTTGCAAAATGACTCATCTTTAGGGTTACAGCTTAGCTGGCACAGACTAAAGGAATGTCCCGTTTCCTTAATGAACGAAGCCTTCTGCAGGTGCACACATCTCCTTTCTCTGGATACGACGTCATCAATGAGGTCATCTGATGCTGTGCTGCTTCTGAGCTCCTCAGATAGCTCAGACAGACTTGGGCCGTGTTTTCATACTGGAAGACTTCAGATCTCTGATTCCACAGCTTTACTAGAACTGAATTATTTTTAGATCTGCATTAAACTCAAAAAGCAACTCCTGAAACAGTAAAAACAGTCAGATTGAACCATAAACATGAATGTAAACGCAGACACCTCTTTGTGAGATCTTAGATGTTTCTTTTCCTTTGCACAGAACGATGACACAGGTTTATACGGCCACCTTGCTGCGGTACCAAAGGCTTTGCTTCCTGGGATTGGAGGGAAGAAGATCCTTGACTTTTGGTGGGAAATGGTCAACATGTGAGTTCTCTTCATCCAAACAGGTTTATTTTTACTGGTCTTTAATGTTCTGCCTACATTTGAGGACCTCGCTTTGCCAACTGCTGTGACAAAAACGTGCTTCTGTGTTCTAGTGATAAAAATAACTTTGGATGAACTTTAGACTGGACTCGGAATGAAAGAGACCCAGAAACTGTACTGAATCAAACGTTAGCCCGCATGTTCTTGTGCAACTTGCTGTGGTAAGAAATGAGCTGATGTCCTTCCACTTCAGCGTTCCGGTCACGGAGGACTCTCAGCACTTCATCTGGGAGGGATTCACCTGACATAAACCCAGTTAGGAGTGAGGGAACAAGCACATTCTGGAAAACACGCACAGTTTTTAACCTGAAGGAAGGAGCTGTTGTTGTGTGACTGAGCACGGACTTTTAGGCCATGATGTCAGAGAACTGCAGCCAGATCCGGGTGGCTGTTAGTCTCCAGAGAGCAAACGAGGATCTAGAACCGTGAACTAAATCCCTGTTCTTCACAACAGTAAAGAACTTAAAAGGATGGTCAGAAATGGTCTTGGCCTTGTTGACAGCATGTCTGACTTCTCTCTAGGCGACAGCTCTTTACTGAAGTCTATCTGGTTACCAACGCAGACAAGTGAGTTGTACCACCCGGTGGACACTGCTCTTATCTTTTTCCACCGGACTGCAGCTCAAATGTCTTTTCTGATCTGTTTAGGTACAAGCATTATGAACGCTGGGCAACAGCTAACGACTTCCCGGTGGAGAACATAGTGAATGATGGCAGCACGACGTTGGAGGACCAGATGGGGGCTGTTGCTGATCTAGAACTTGTCATACGAAGCCAGAAGCTCCAGGACGACATTGTGGTGGTGTGTAGAAAAGCGTTTTTATTGATATCTCAACTACTTGGTCATTTGAGCAACTGTGCTGTAGATTCAGCTGTTCTTCTTTGTGTGAGCAGATTGCTGGAGACATGATGTGTGCTGACCAGAACTTTGACATCGCTCAAGTCATTGGCTTCTTCAAGTCCAAGGTCAGATTTGAGGTTCTTACCCTGCTGGTTTTTATTATTATTATTGTTCAAAAGCTTAACGTAGACACAGAAGACCAAAGTGTTACACCAGCCAGCCTACACCCACAGACTAGTAGTAAGCACCTACATTTCTGTTGTGGTCATGTGAAGGGTGACAGGTAATGTGTTAGAGCTCGGAGAAGAGGCTGCTCCTGGGCCGTGTTTTGGCTCAGCCTCGTGTCTGTAGGACCTTGTTTTCCTGGGCTGGATAAGTGGGGCTCTGTCATGAAGCATCAAGTTCATCGGGAAGACCAGCTCTGTCCTGGCGTGCCCCTTCCATCAGGTGCAGGCGGTGGGAGACAGGACTTTATAATCATCCGCTTTATAGCGTTGTCTACGACCATCGGATTCTGTGACGCTGTGGGGGAGTCGGTTCCTACAGCCTCCTACTATCTTCACCGTGGCCAGAAGAAGAAGAAAATATAATTTCTATGGCGCCTCTCGAGATAAAAATCACGAGGCGCTTCACAAAAACAAAAAATGTAAAAATATAAAAAAGCATTTAGAAAATGTTGAAAAATTTATTTAAAATGAGCAAAAAATAGACAATTGTGATTAAAACATGTTAAGAAAGAGAGAGAGTGAACAGGAAAGAGGGAAACCAGCGGAGGAAGGTGGAATAGGTGGGGAGAGCAGAATAAAGAGAGAGGTGAAGAAGGTCATACAAAAGCCAGCTTGAACAGGTGAGTCTTGTGACCCAGCCCTAACCGGTTTGTGAACAGCACCCACCACTGAGTGCTAGACGGTTGTGTGGCTGGGCTACCACCCTGCTACTTCACCAAGCCGTTCCAAAGTAAGGATCAGCGGAAGGTCCTCACCGAACTCCCGATCCGGTCCCAACGTGTCCGTTCCAGAGTACTTCTACTCAAGTCTCCTCTTTTCCTGCAGCCTGCCGTCTCGCCCAACACGCTCCAGCGCTCGTCCGCTAGCCAGTGGCTAAACAGCGTTGTTTACTTTATCTCCACAACACTTTACTGACAGCGATGTAGCTCTCCACGCGTTACAGAGACACTCAGACCCAGAGGACTTCTTAAGCGTTACCCTTAGACTTGGGTTTTGCTGGTAATCCGTGGCAGTTTGCACACAGCGTACACAGCGTCCCCCCTGCTCTAACTGTGGCTAACTAGTAGCTTGGTAGCTCGTGACAACGATCTCCACCACGCCAGCCGTGAACCACGATTGGCTGGTGGACAAGTCAGCATTGTTTACTTGATGTCCAGCGTGCCCCCGGCTCACCAACTCTCCTGAACCAACCGTGGCTAACGAACAGCCAGTGACCGCTCCATAGATGGTAGCGGCAGCCAGCATGTTCACATCGAGCGCACCGTAATCCACGTGAAACGGGTGTTGTGGGAAATTATGTCCCCCTGAAATATTCTGTTTCCCTTAGGCAGTCAAGAGCAAATATTTCCAAATTCACAGAACTTATTGTCCATTATGACGAAACTGCCTCAAATAAAAGATGTTAAACTGAGTGAGATTACATCTCCGGGGGACAGAATATTTCAGGGGAACACAATTTCTCACAACACCTGACCTCCCGGCTGACGTCACCTGTCCTCCGTGTGTGAATGGTGACCGCTTCAATAACAGAACTAGCTTTCTTCCTTCAGGACAGGTGGACTGATAAAACAGTCATAATTATAAATGCTTTTTAAACGGGTCGGGTAGCTGGTTAAAAGCTTTGTGTGGGTTAGGCTACACAGGTTGGAAATTGATAATACAGCAAACTCATGAGTGAGCCACCGTAGCTGAAATACTTTCTCTGGCCTGCACGGCGCCAAAGAGTCACACTTTTTCATCATGATTTCAATGGATTTCACACACAATGAACTCCCTTCTGTGACACAAAGTCAAGGTTTTAACATGAAAACGATGACACAACACTGCCACCAAGAGGATTTGGGCCAACAAGTAATCCAAAAATGTATTTCATCACATCTAGGGGCGCTAATAACAAACCAGCTCTGGTAAGTGAAGGGATACCAAAACAGAAAATATACATGTAATTGATTTTAAACCAAAAACTGAGATGTTTAGGTTTAGTGTGAAGTGTTGGAAGTGTTGACAGGTGTGTACGTTGTGTGTGTGTTGCAGCCTGGAGAGCTGATTATCTACTATGAGCTGGAGGAAGGTGAGCGGAGCAGCTCCAGGGGTATTGTGGAGGTTTCTCCTGAGAGCCACAGGTCAGGATTCCTCTACAGTGTGGGGTGTTTGTTGCAGCTCACATGTGCCTTGTCCCTGGTGTGTACTCGTACATCAGAGTGTGTCGCAGATGCGCCTTAATCGTTTTTAGTCCTAAATTAGGATAACTCGCTTCGTGGAGAAACCTGAGGAGGGTCTGACGGCATCTCGGCTGGCCAGTGTGGTGTTTTACTGCATCCAGAAAAACACGCTGTGCTGCATGTCGGACTTCCTCAGCCTGCAGCCAAAAACCACCAGCAGGACCTTCGGACACTTCTGGGTTTGTAGCTGCTGCATGTCCCACATCAGACAGCACCGATTTAAAGTGAAAGTCCCATTAGTCATCACACACTGGTGAAATTCATTCATTCATTCATTCATTTGGTGGTTTAACCCCCCCAGTCCAACCCCTTAAAGCTGAGTGTTGAGGCATTGGGTCCCTTTGGTGTGACCCGACCGGGATTTGAACCCTGATCTCCTAGTCCCAGGGCGGACACCCTACCTCTAGGCCTGTTACATTTCCTTACAACAGTTTACACACCCTGGAGGATTTTTTTGCCATTGCTCAAAGAATATGAATGAAAACACAAAAACCTTTTTAAAGGATTCAAGGAGTATTTATTGTCCTCGTGGGACAATTAGTTGTGCAGCCAGCAGTAAAAAACCGATCCAACAATCCAGCACCTTTCCCTCTGAAGAACGTGAGAACTCCTAATTTAACAGCAGCAGCAGCAGGGAGGAAGAGTTTCTGGATGGGCTCACCCTGCATGTGGGCCGAAGTTATTTACGCCCTGGTGGAAGTGGCTGGAACTCGTGTGGTAAAAGGCGGTTCTGATCCTGAAGGGTGGAGCGAGCCTTCGTCGGGACTCTGGTACTGCACACGGCTGATGGATCATTCAGGTTAACAGCTGCTAGCCTTCTGCACTATTTCACAACCCCCTGCTGTCTGTCTGAGCTAAAGTGAACCGTACCAACAGATAAATGCAAACGTTGATAAAACAAGAAGAAACCCTTTTCATAGAAGTTCTGTCAGCGTTAAATCTGTAGAGCTTCGGATAAAAGTGCATGAACGCTGCATCAAGACGGGCGTCCGTCACCCCAGGCATTTGTGATCACTGACAACCTCCACGGTTCAGTTCCTGACCGTGACAGGAAAGTTTGAGAGGATTTGACCTAAAATCACCTATTATTAGATTTTTTTTGTTTATTTGTATGTTCAAGTAAGAAGACGTACACCAGAAAAATCATCCCCCGCGGGTCCGTGGCTGGGGTCATCACCACTAAACAGGGAGGCAGTAGCTGAGTCGTTTGTGTATAAAACAAATAGCAAAGGTGAGAGAGCACAGCCGTGGGAGATCCAGTACAAGAGATGAGATTAAAAAAATAATTCCAGTCACTGGAGAGCATCAGGTTAGGACTTCCTGTTAGGGAAGCAACGCATTTGATTGCATCCCCATCGTGGTTTTGACTCCTCCCTATGCTAAACGAGAGCTGCTTGCACTGAGCATGCTCAACTCTGTCTTTGTAGCTGCATCTTTCAAGTTTCCGCTCTTTTTCTCACTCATGGTCAGTGATGTGAAGTTGTTTATTGTACAACAATGTGTGGACTAATTTCATAACACAGTAACAAAATAAAATACCAAAATGACCCTGTGGGAAAGTTTACATACCCCAGCTCCAATAGCGTGCCCCCTTTTGCATCAGTGACAGCTCAGAGTCATGTGGTCGTTGTGGAGAAGGCTCTGTTTCTAATCTGATGGTGAAGCAGCTCGTTCTTCTGGGCCAAAAGCCTCCAGTTCCTGTAAATTCATGGGCTGTCTGTCATGAACAGTATGTCTGAGCTCTCCTCACAGCGGTTCCATGAAACTGAGATCAGTAGACTGAGATGACCACTCCAGAACCTTCACTTTATTCAGCATGTGGCTGACGGCAGCCACAGTCATGCAGTTTTGAGATAATTTATGGTTCAAGTTACGATAAATAAGCTAAGAATATTTTATTTTTAATAATGTATACGTTATGGGGTTTAAAAGCACACATTTAAATGGTTTACAGAATATTTCCAGGGTGGAACCAATGTTTAGTTTGTTGTTTCGGGGTTGACAATATGTTCAGTTGCACGCCACACTTGATAGGCGGCAGCATGCTAACCGCTATCATTCGTTGGTAGAGCTATGCAGACGCATGCAATGACGTTTTCCAGCTGTGGAAAGGAGTGACACTGCAAGATGTGTTTTTTATTAACCCCTGCAAGTTAATGCGGCCAATGAGTTCTCACGGCACCGTTGGTGGCACCTGTGTGCAATAAATGCCAGTCAAAATTCAAGAACGCCTTGTGTCCGTTTTCAACTTGGAGGGAGTTACACAGCTGGAGCCAGTGGCAGGTCCACTCGGCCTTATGTTTTGGATCATTGTCTTGTTAGAACATCCAAGTGCGACCCATGTGCAGCTTTTGGGCTGATGAGCATAAATTCTCCTCCGGTGTTTTCTGATTCGTTGCTGCATTCATCTTGCCATCAGTTTTGACCAGGTTTCCAGTACATTTGGTAACTCGCACATCCCCAAACCACCTCCATGTTTCAGAATAAGAACAGTGAACCTTTCATCACAGGAGTCCTCTCCAAACGTAAGGTCGTGGCCAAAAAGTTCAGCTTTGGTCTCATCACTCTAAATGGTCCTCGCAGGGCTGTGTTCTCTCTGCTGTTCACCCCGATGACCCACGATTGTCGTCCCGGCTACAACACCAACTACTTCTTGAAGTTTGTGGACAACATAACCGTGAAGGGTCTTATCCAGGATTACAACAAGCTGGCTGACAGGGACCAGGTGGAGCACCTGGTGAATTGGTGTTGTCGACTTGAGGAGGTCACAATCCAGCCATTTACCACTCCTCATCAATGACACCACAGTTGAAATGGCTTGCAGTACCAAGGTTCTTGGGGAGCAGATTACCTTCAAAATAACTGGTTCTCTCAACGCCACCTCCCTAACAACGCCTGCGCCCCCCCATCCCATCCTGACCACCTTCTGCATAGGCACCATCAAGGGTTAGGGTTAGGGATGCTAACTAGCTGTATCTGTGTCTGGTATGGGACTTGCAAAGCCTCACACTGCAAGTCCCTGCAGATAGTGGTGAGGAGGGTGGAGAATGTCATCGGAACCCCTCTCCCGTCCGTTCAGGATATTGGCCGTAAGCGCTGCTTGACCAGAGCGTGACACACGGCTCAGACCCCACTCATCATCACTACGGTCGGTTTTTTAGACCGAACTCTAGCAATAGATTCTACAGCTTCTGCAGCTGTCATGTCCCTGGGAAGGTGTTTAACCCACGACATGAAGAACCATCACAAAACAACGGCAGAAAGTTCAAACAATGTTTTATTAAACCTAACTTAAAGTGTCCTGGAGATATACAAGTTCAATGAAGCCATGAAGAGTCCAGAAGTCAGGGAGGGCAGATGGTGTGACGGGGTGCGTCCATGAGAGGGAGCCAGACGATGGCGGCAGATGATAGGAGGAACAGGAGGAGAGGCGAACCGTGAGAGTTGTTGTCCAGGCGGGTTATGGTGAGTTCCAGGTAGGTATATTCCATCAATGGTTCAGCGTTTCCAAGTATCCTGAAGAGGAATACAAACTTGAGTCCAAAATGGTCCAAACACAAGAATCCAAGAAAAAATCCAAATACTGCAACAGCAAAAATGTCTGAGCAGAGACCAAGCATAACCTAAGACTTGAGAGAGGCAAGATACTACCGTGAGTAGCTAGTCATCCAGCGATGTGAAGTAGTTCCCTCTTCTTAAATAGAGCTCTGCTGCGGTTGATCAGAGGAGCTGCAGCTGCCGCTGATTGGTAAGGCCCCGCAGCTGGTGAGTGCCCTCTCCTGGAATGAAGATCTCACAAAGATGTTGTAGAGAAGGAGGAGTACTCACCCCGACACACAACAGCAGCAGGACATTCAGCTTCAGTTTCTTTCCCTGGCTTGAGACTATAATGGCACATTCACATCTGGGCCGGCCCAGCACGTTCTCGGTAGCGTCTGCCCTCTTTGTACAGGGCCAGGTGGTCTTTTTGGGATTGTGGAAATCTCCAAGCACGTGGGCGGGGCAAAAGATGAGCGGAGAAGTCAGTGGTGTCAGTAAACAAAGGTGGCCGTGAGCCGTGTTGCTTTAGGAGACTCTTACTGATATTGATTTATTCTCTCTCACTGAGACTCCTCTCTGCTCTTCACAGCAGTATGTCCTCGGGCTGCTGCGGCTGGAGCAGCAGCTCGGAGCTGCTGTTTACGCCCCAGCATCCAGAATGATAATGAATCAATCATGCATGCGGCAAGCCCCTGCTTGCTGATTCTACCAGCCAGTCGAAAGATCCCCAAAAGACACTAATGAATTTCAGCCTGCTAGTCAGTCGGCAGTGGGTGTGTTGGGTCAGTTCAGCCTGAAGTGGACCGCCAGGCGAGGAGGTCTGAAAAAACTGGTTGCTTGAGCACGAAAAACACACAGGCTACCCAGATGTGAACACAACGTACCCTACCAGGGCCGGGCTGTGCCGACCCAGCTGTGAAAGCGCCATAATGGCCCCACCCCTCCTGCTCTTTCCCCACCAACATTTAGAAACAACCGCACTGGTCTACAGCATGCTGCTATGATGCCATCTCAGTGAGATGTCACACTGTCACTTTCTTTTTATTCCCTGTTATTTTATTTAGATTTTATCTTGCTTTATGCTTTTTTAACCTTACAGTGCATAGTTTCCTGGCGCTAGGAGGCACTACATACATTTCAGGGTAGTTTTACACCATATCGCCGTGACTGTTGCTAGTTTAAAAAATACATTATGGTAAACGTTGTTACCTGTCAAGCAAAAAGCATGCGACCTGAAAAAGGCCGGATTTTCCAATGGGCATTACGGGCACGGGCCCAGGGACCTGAGATGATCAACTGAAAGACTTTATTTTAAATGTGAAGTTACGCAACACTTTAACTCCAAGTGTGTCCGCCTCTCTCATGCCCGCTTCAGCATCTCCTCAAGTATGGAACGCGCTGTTTAGCGGAGCTCCGGTGATCTGACCTCTCTGCCGCGGCACTTTGCTATTTGTTATTTGCGGTCGGTAGATTGCATTGAGCTGCTTAGTTCAAAGGTAGCCCATGAGATGAACAAGTCGGAAAGCCTGGAAGCAGTTTTTCTAGAGGACTGAGAGGAGATGTAGGAAGATTAAACAAAGACAGGACAGGAAAGTAGTCGAATAAAAAACAAGAAAACAAAACAAAGGGCTTGAACAGGATAAGGTGGGTAGATCTACACCTGTTTAACTGTGTAAAGCAACAATCTAAACGTGTATTTACATATTTGAAACAATTCAGATGACCTTCAAAGCTCAGTTCCACACTACTAGTCCACTAATCCTGTCCTGCATAAAGTATAGCTTACCAGGATGCTCTAATATACACATCATTAGCTTCTAGTCTGAACTGTAATCAGTTATGTGCCATCTAATAATAAAGACACGATTATAGCTTATCAAACAACTTTAATTAACTATGTAACCTGTAGTTGGGTTTAGGTGCAGGTGGGCACCTAAACCAAATAAAAATGGTACACAATGACTTGTGTTCACAAATGCATTCAGATAAAATAGTCTCTTTGGGTTTCGTAACAAACTCATCCATTGAAGAGGTGGAGTGCTTTTTGAACACTGTAACGTAGCGGGATGAAATAAATCATAACTCACGTAAGAGCTCCTGTCGTTTGGACATCCTGTTCATCCATTTCCACATCAGAAAATGAACCACGAGAGTCATAGAGATCAGATTATATAAACATTGAGGAGACATGGGCTAGGGCTTTCTATCAGCGCTGCTGTAACTACGGGCTGCCATGTTGGATGGGTCACCAGTCACCCCCAGTGCATTTATAGGGCTAGTAAAGTCAATAGTAATCCCACATAATCTGTTCTCAATAATCTGTTGGTTGTTGGAACAGTAGACTGCACATAATCAGGCATAGTTGCTCACTTAGTGTTGACACTGATTAGGTTTTGGAGAGTGAGGGACCCATCCAATATGGCGGTGAAGTGGTTACCCTCCAGCGCTAAACATTGCATCTACGTATTTCATTTTAGTTTCATCTTGTTCCCACCTCTTGTAGCCACTAGCTGTTAGTGCATTCGTACTGATTTCAAAAGTAAAGTTTCCTCTCCTGAAGAAGACCCGCTTATTATTCTGATCGCTGTTTGAATGTGGGGCTTTCTTTTGAGCATAATGAGAAAGTAGTAAAGTGGGACTCACGTGATGGTTTTAGACCAACGCCGTGCTCTCATTTAGTAACTAGGAAGCCAACATAGTGGTGTTTTGGGAGTCGGAAAATAGCAGACATTGTGATTTAACTACCTTAGAAACTCGTAAAGAACAAAAATTATTTTTATGGAAACGTGTTTAACGTAATACGTCAAGGGACAAGTTTCTATCTAAATATATTTAAATAAACAATGCTCTTACCAGTTAGTGTTTCCAAATCTGTGTGCAGTTTGAAGTTTCCACCATTCAGCAGCTCTTCAGTCACTTTTTAAACTATTATCCCTGCTTAGCCTGTTCCCATCAGCTCTTGCTGCTGGCTCAAAACAGTGTGGCACCTTCAGTATTTAACATTATTGTATGTTCGTATTCAGAATCTGGAGCTTCGTGCTGCTGATGCAAATCCATTTACTTTTCTGAGCAGTCGGGAACGTTTTCCTTGAGTGACGTCGCTTCTGGTTTCCAGCAATGTTTCAGCATGTTTCAGTCCAAAGTCACTGGGGTGTAAAAACTTGTCAATCTGGTATTTATTTTGCTATGGTGATTTGAAATTAGTCAACATTCTTTCAATATAAATGGCTTCACCACATCACCGACCATGAGTGGATAAAGGCTTCTGTGTTTTCATTCATATTCTTTGAGAAGTAGCCCAAACAAATCTACCACTCTGTGTAAACTTAATGACACAACTGTACCACTAAATGGCTGAAGCTTAACTACCTTCTGACCAGTACAAGCAATGTGTAGTGTAGTTTTCTTAGTTTACCCCAAGCTGGGCAAGCAGCAGTGGCGGCTGGTGATATTTTTTTAGGTGGGGCGGAATTTAACAGGTGTTGTGCCAAAAAAAAAGCATGCTTGCCGAGATTTGCACGACCTGTTATGAGAGGGTGAATATGAATAATGAGGTTTTTAATAAATTCATACTATTAACATGTTTCTTATTTGCCTGCTTACATAGTGGTTTATAGGCATATAAATAAAAAAACTATGGTTTATTTGAAAAAAAAAATCTTAAAAACTTGCTATTTCAAGTCACATTCCTGTTTTTTTTTTACCAACAGCAAAATTCAAGCAGGCAGAAAAGAATAATAACATTAGTCTCTAACTTGTTTAAATACAACGTGGCAAAAACATAAATATTTCATCATATTTCTAGTCAAAAAGAAAAGGTTTTCAGGAGAAGGGTTAGGGTTATCCACATATCACCACCAGGGAACGCCAACAGTAACAGCAAAAATGTGCTTAATGTAAGTAAGTAAACAAACTTTATTTGTGTAGCACCTTTCCCAGGCACACATACGCAGGCAACCTGCATCCAAAAGTAACAGGAAATGTGTCACATGACGATTCAGTAGTGTTAAAAGTGTAAATAACATTTTAAAGCTACACTTAAATGCAGATTAAACACAGCACTTATAGTCTGTATGATATATGGATTGTTTAGTTTTATTTATTATTATTTATTTATTTTGTAATTCGTATGTTCTTCTTCCTGTGAGACTGGGGGAGCGGCGCCCTAGCGCCCCCTGTGGACGAGCCGCCACAGTTAAGCGACCCACCGGGACAGTGTTAGAATGCCAGATAGGCTAATCCACTCCTGAGCAACGACCAGGGAAAATTTGTTTGAATTGCCAAAGGAAAAATAACGTAAAAGCAAAGAAATCAACTGATAAACGAAGACCCTCAGCAGCTCTTGATTTTGACGAAATGGGGCAAAATAAAATAAAAGAACTTTATTGAACAAATAGCAAGCAACATTTTAAATGAATGAATGGATTTATTTACATAAGAACTAAGTAAATAAGAATTCCACATTTCTACAAACGGAAGTGGCTGCTAATTATGTAAATACGTTTAAAATGTTCACATATAAGAACAGTTTTGCTTTTTGTCTGATGTTGGCTTTATGTAGTTCCACATTCTTTACAAAACCAAGTTTTATTAACAAAACAAGAAGGAGTGCTATCTTTGTTAAAATGGAACATAAAACAAAGTACTGGTTGGTTAAGATGCCTTCTATTCAGCACATTATACAAATGTAAATTAGAATTTCATGCGCCTAAGCATATTCACATTGAAACAATGGTGTCTATTTTAGAAGACAAAGGTACAAAAATTGTTCTTAATGTTTATGTTGTAATCTGCTTTAGGAGTGGTGCATCAATGAGAAGCACCTTGATGTTTTTGGGATGAAGCTTCCTACTGGTTTCCAGCTCATTGGACAAGTGGTTTGTATTCTTTACTTTGTTGGAGGTTTAGTGACACAGATCAGTCAGAAAAGAATAGCAGAGGCATCTCTAGCATAAGAAGTTAAGTGCGGTCCAAAAATCCACAGCTCTTTATACAGGTCCTTCTCAAAAAATTAGCACATTGTGATAAATTTCATTATTGTCTGTAATGTACTGATAAACATTACACTTTCATATATATTAGATTCATTACACACAACTGAAGTAGTTCAAGCCTTTTATTGTTTCTAATATTGATGATTTTGGCGTACAGCTCATGAAAACCCAAAATTCCTATCTAAAAAAATTAGCATATCATGAAAAGGTTCTCCAAACGAGCTATTAACCTAATCATCTGAATCAACTAATTAACTCTAAACACCTGCAAAAGATTCCTGAGGCTTTTAAAAACTCCCAGCCTGGTTCATTACTCAGAACCACAATCATGGGTAAGACTGCTGACCTGACTGCTGTCCAGAAGGCCATCATTGACACCCTCAAGCAAGAGGGTAAGACACAGAAAGACATTTCTGAACAAATAGGCTGTTCCCAGAGTGCTGTATCAAGGCACCTCAGTGGGAGGTCTGTGGGAAGGAAGAAGTGTGGCAGAAAACACTGCACAACGAGAAGAGGTGACCGGACCCTGAGGAAGATTGTGGAGAAGGACCGATTCCAGGCCTTGGGGGACCTGTGGAAGCAGTGGACTGAGTCTGGAGTAGAAACATCCAGAGCCACCATGTACAGACGTGTGCAGGAAATGGGCTACAGGTGCCGCATTCCCCAGGTCAAGCCACTTTTGAACCAGAAACAGCGGCAGAAGCGCCTGACCTGGACTACAGAGAAGCAGCACTGGACTGTTGCTCAGTGGTCCAAAATACTTTTTTGGATGAAAGCAAATTTTGCACGTCATTCAGAAATCAAGGTGCCAGAGTCTGGAGGAAGACTGGGCAGAGGGAAATGCCAACATGCCTGAAGCCCAGTGTCAGGTACCCACAGTCAGTGATGGTCTGGGGTGCCATGTCAGCTGCTGGTGTTGGTCCACTGTGTTTTATCAAGGGCAGGGTCAATGCAGCTAGCTATCAGGAGATGTTGGAGTACTTCATGCTTCCATCTGCTGAAAAGCTTTATGGAGATGAAGATTTCATTTTTCAGCACGACCTGGCACCTGCTCACAGTGCCAACACCACTGGTAAATGGTTTACTGACCATGGTATTACTGTGCTCAACTGGCCTGCCAACTCTCCTGACCTGAACCCCGTAGAGAACCTGTGGGATGTTGTGAAGAGAAAGTTGAGAGACGCAAGACCCAACACTCTGGATGAGCTTAAGAACGCTATCGAAGCATCCTGGGCCTCCTTAACACCTCAGCAGTGCCACAGGCTGATCGCCTCCATGCCACGCCACATTAAAGCAGTCATTTCTGCAAAATCTAGTTTTAGGGTAGAGGTCATGTGATCCAGTCAGTTTGTGTGTTTACCTATATATATGGCGATGGTGTTTACTAGTGTTGGATTGGGTTCATGTTGATAAACTATAGTGTGTGAAGGCTGTACCAAGTCCAGCCTGTCTGGACATCGAGTCCACGGGTTTCCAGATAAGCCTCTATCTCCGTGCCTGAGGGTGTTTCTGCAGCTGAAAAGACGAACTTCTGTAGTCCACATTGGTCGGTACCGGGTCAGGGAGGTCCGCGCTGGGCCTTGGAGACCCTTGGCGGGGTTTAAAAAATTAAATGCAGATTTCTGGAGCTCAGATCACCATCAGAACCAGGTCAGAACCAACCAACTGAAGAGACGCAAAGCTCAGCGGGCCAGTGGAGCTGGTTTCTGGGTCTGAACCAGATCAGAACCGCCGCTCAGACCACCAGGAGAGGATGCAGCTTTTAAAAATACAAGTGAGCCGGTCGAGCTGGTGTCTGGGTCGGATCCAGCTCCCAGAAGCCCGCATGAGCTCCAGAACCGGATGACAGCCGTCTCTCTCTCCCTCTCTCTAAGCTAAACTACGTTACGTGAACAGATATTAACGAGTATAAGACAGCTGACAGACGCTCATTAGTATTAATATGAAATTAACTGACCGATACTATTTTAATCGTCTACATGATAGTAATCTGTACTACATTGTGATGCTAGCACACAAGTTTAAGCTAGCATTGTTAACTTACCCCCCGCTGCTTCTCCTCAACCTCCCTGCTTTGGCCGATGGTTTCTCCCTCTGGTTGTCTCTGCTCTCTGGGGCGAGCAGCAAACTCACAACTTTATGGTTCTGGTCCATCAGAAGTAGAATTATAAACATTTAAAGTTTCCTTTGTGTCAGAGCCGCATTAGAGTCCATATTTTTCTCTGGATTAAGCAAACAGGGCTCACCTGACAACACAAAAGGAAACAAAAAGGAAGTTTTGCATGTGCCCCCTGTAACCTTAGTGCTTGTTATTTCTCCTGGTGTGATCCAGAGGATATCAATGTGAAACATTTTCAGATGATGCTCACAGAAGGCAGCAGCATAAATTATGTTATGTGTGATATGGTAAACAAAAACAAACTTAATTATACATAAATATAGATAACACGTGAACAGTCCTTTTAATTGCTTGATTTTCCCTCTAACACCACTGTGTTAGGGCCTGTCGGACTACACAAAGTGGCTCGCTCACTACTCGTCCAAGAAGCATGGTAATTCAGCTAAACCAATCACTTGCCGCTCATATGCCAGGTAAGAAGTAACTGAACTTGACATTGTTTTTAGTTCTTTAGGTGTAAAAACCCATGGTAGGCACAAATTTTCTAATATTGATGACTTACAGGGTTGGATTGATGGGAAACCCTTCGGATGGCTTCAATGGGAAAACCATTGCCATGACTATCTCCAACTTCTGGGCTGAAGTAACTCTGGTGGAGAGCCAGACTTTGGTAAGCCAGCGACACTTGCACCCTCTTCCACTTGCAGAAGGAATATGGTTTTTGGCTACTTGATGAGAACTTTTTTTTAATAGAGTCTAGTTCCTCATCCACTCAATGACCCCACAGAGTTTGGCAGTCTTCAGGATCTGTTCTGCATCAGCAGAAGGGAGGGGTGAGTAATCTTTGTAAGAAGCTAAATTTACTGGACAGTGCAAGTGACATGGTTTTGAGGACGAGTTTAACCCAAGACATGCACAATTCACCACTCACGAGTCAATTCGAAAAATTAAAGAATTTTATTTTAAAAAATCGGGAACTGAGGGCGCACTGGATAAGGTCCAGTGGGGATTGCAACAGAACCGCAGCATGGGTAGGTGGAGTGCCGGGGTGAATCCAAGAGGGGGTGTCCAGGAGAGGGGGGCGCGAGGAGAGCGGGCCAGCAGGGAGGAGAGGAGAACGGTGAATGCTGCGTCCAGGAGATTTATGAGGCACAGGTGAGTAATCCAGCGGGATCGTGGAAATGTCCAAGTAGTCAATCAGAGGAGCCACCGGAAAACCAGAGAAGCTCCAGAAGCTTCAGAAGTCCAAGAAGATCCTGAGGAGTCAAGGTAAGGTCCACAAACGATCCAAAAATCCTGGGAACAGGTAAGCACAAGTATTTCCACAAGGCTTCTAAAATCCCAAAATCACTAGTTAACCTGGAGACACAAAGTTGTAGTTAATCATCCGGCATCGAGATCTGTTCTCCTCATCCTCTTATAGCTGGACCCGCTGATTGTTAATGAGCTGCAGCTGGAGCCTCCCTCTCCTGAAACACAGCAGCTCAAAGATGGAACTAAAATGAGAGGAGCACTCGCCCCGGCACATGACAGCGAGTCATATTTAGCTATTTTAAATGACCTTTTTTCCTTCCTCATTGCAGATATCTGGGAGGTCTCCGCCTGTTGCAGGCTACTTGTAAGAAGTTCTACCAATTCTGCTCCAAACAAGGGTGAGAGTACCGTAATTTCCACAACGTATTGCATATGTGCATCAGCTTTGATCAATATATTACCGCAATGAAAGTAATGGTCTTAGGAAACGAAAACTTTCTGACCTCTTGCTGGTAAATTACTGTTTGCATGAACATCATCGGTCTTTACCTGCTTACAAACATATTTTGATTCACTTTAAAAATGTAATTCCAAATCTAAATCAAGGTCACTGCTACGGTGAATCTGCAAGCACCGGAATGGAGCACTCACTCTGCCGGAACCGGACACTGCTGGGAATGAGATGGTGCTATACACCAGTCACCGTTTTCTAGGTCCAAACATCTTTTGTTTGTGACATCAAATGTTTTTCTTTTTCTTTTGGGGACTCTGGTAGTTTAACCTGGCAGCAGCCAGATCTCTCTTTAGCTCTGCTCCCTGTTGAGTCTACACATTTCGATCTGGCATCTCTGCAGCAGAAATCGTCCGAAAGAGGGAGGGACATCTGGTAGAATGTTTTGAGCTGATTGGAGGACGCGCAAGGTAGTGCCCGACTGGCACTGGCTACCATATTTGTCTTTAGCCAATCACAGTAACTCAAATGACGCTTACTACGTGTGCCTGGAAAACAACAACAACTTGCTCAAGCTTCATTCATTCACTCACGCAGCAATTACCATGTCTATGGGTGATTTCTGGCAGTTTTGCGAGAAGAATATGTGCATAAAGGGCAGGGTTTCCCCCAGTGCCATAAGCTTGGCAGCTGCCAGGCTTTTCTTGGTCATCAGCCAGGCTAAGTGTGGTCCCGAACGAAACAGCGTCGACAGCACGACAAGCCAGTCTATGGATAGCCTCCAGGTAAAAAGCGACAGGTGTTTCACAGCGTCAAAGGGACCCCCCTTTGGGTCAGCGAGTTCAGCTTTTATTCTGAAGGAACCGTTGTTTTGTTGGTAACAACAGGATTTTCCCAGCTTGGCAGTTCTCAGCTTAAAAGTAAAAAGTACATATAGCCGGTCCGTACTCCACTTAGCAATGATGAACATCAGATGATTTTGAGAGCTGGCTGAAGACTGAACTCAAAATGGCGTTGTTCTGACTTATTAATCCTTGATGTTTTCGTTTCTGGGCGAATCCCAGCTGACAGATTAGACAAACACCATAGAGACTCTGCCACGCTTCAGATGTGAAGGCTCTGATTGGACTTTGCGACCGGGATGTGTCATGATTATTTATCTTGTGAATCAGCTTGTCTAGTGGCTACAATCAACACATTCTCACACCCTAAGCGTCGGAAACAAACGCTTGGTCAGCCACCCTCCACGTCAGACCCCAGATGCCAAAAGTGCCCTTTTTCGTTACTTATGTGCGAAAAGGGGTTTTCCCTTTTGTAACTGCAGATCCCAATGCAGCGTAAAACTGATGTGATTAGATATCCGCTGATGCGGCACCGAACCAGCTCATTTAACCGCACCTAAACCTTAAATGCGGCACCGAACCAGCTCATTTAACCGCACCTAAACCTTAACGTTTCGCTATATATAACCTTCCCCTCACCCTCTTCCTAACCTTAACCCTCTTGCTACCTAAAACGTTACTCTCACTGTGATCAAGCGTTTGTTTCCCATGCATTCTGACTCTGACAGTCAGAGTCTGACTGTGAATTTTCGTATTTGCCGCCCAAGGGGAACGTTAGAACATACCATCTGGCGAGGGGGAGGTTACACATACCCTCTACTTTTAACCTCCACCGTGGTAGTTGAAACCTCCCCCTCACGTTGGCTCGGTCCAAACTCGACCAATCATGAGGCGGCTCCCGCCGTTCACTTCATAGAGCCGGCTTTTAGAGCGACCGACACATCACTAACATGTTCGCTGGCAAGATGGTTAAGGTTAGGATAGGGGTGAGGGGAAGGTTAAATAAGAGGAGAAGGTTAAGGTGAGGTACAATGAGCTTGTTTGGTGCCCTGGCTGCGGACATCCCATCGCGTCAGTGTAACGCTGCATTGGGATCTGCAGTCAAATAAGGGGAAAACCCCTTTTCGCACATAAGTAACGATAAAGGGCACTTTTGGCGTCAGGGGTCTGACTTGGAGGGTGGCTGACCAAGCGCTTGTTTTTGACGCGCTGGGAGTGAGAACGTGTTGCTACAATATGTCATTTCCTTATTAAACATTAATCATAACATTGTGATTTCACAGATCGGTCACATGGTTATTATTGACCAACAGTTGTTTTGATTAGCTTTATTAAAATAGAGTTCTTTGGTTAATTAAAAGAAAAGAGTTCATTCTTCTTTCTTCTGTCTTCACTGCTGGAACGTAAACATTAGGAGTGAATGCATGACCTTGAGGCTGTTTCATGCACTCTGGCACTGTGTCAAACAGAACACCTGTTAGAGGGGAGAATGCCTCCTTCATCATATTACAGCAGCCAAACGAACTGCGGGCCCCCTTCCGCTGATACTGATGAGAGACGAAGCACAGCAACCCCTGACCCCCACCTCCGCTCTCACGGTCCGTCATGGTTGTAGCCTGGCCTGCCAGACTCGTTCTCTGTTTAATTCTGCGCACAGAAAGAGTCTGGGAACTCACAGGCAGAGAGGCACATGAGGGGCGGCACTAGGCAGCTCAAAAATAACGGCTTTTAGTGCTTCTACTTGTTGTTTTCAAGACATGCAAGTCATTTAGAGCAGAGGAAAGAGCCACAGCGAATTGCGCTTCAGTCGCCATGTTTATGACAAACTCGGCGTTGTGGTGTGTAATGTTCGCTTCTCAGAGCTGATTGGCTCGGTTAGAATTCTCAGGGGGCGGGGCTATTTGAATAGGAGAGTTACCAGACCCTTTCTCTGTGCAGAATTAAACAGAGGAGGAGTCTGGCGGGCCGGGCTATCATGGTTGTAAAATAGTTCCAAAATGAAAGTTGAACCGTCTTTTCTGGCCGTGACATCATCTCATTTGGACATTTAATAATTAAAATTTAGGCTTCTTATCACTGTTCTACTGTAAAATAAAAGATATCGTTACTGTAATAAAATATCATTAGTGGAATAAAAAAACATTTCCATATGCCATCTGAGTAGAAGACTCATATGTCCCTGCCTGGATTTGAATCCGGGTCCCCAGTGTGTTAGGCAGACGCCTTTCCAGTTGAGTTATCTCTTTGACATGTACATGAAGTCACCTAGTGGATGCACACTTAAGACTGACCGGGGTCGTATTAGAAAATCCTGACAGAGCTACATCACTCTGTCACTAACATTCATGGACTCTCCCATCTGGACTCACGACGGGGAAGGCTGTTGTTGGTTTAGCGTCCAGAAAACATCAGAGAACATCTCTGCTAGTAGAAGCTAACCAATCACATTAGCAGCTCCACCACACAGCAGAGCTCCTCCAGGCTTGTGTTATTTGTGGAGATAAAACATCCATGTCACAGAGCAGAGTCAATGGAGTTGTGTTGCTGTTATCCAATCAGAGGAAAGATGTCCAAATATCAGGAAATAAGAATCCAAAATCTGACATCTGAAATTACCTTCTCCTCCAGCTGATTTGTTCTTCCTGATTCAGGCACATCTTAGACACCCCCTCTCCCCCGACAAGTCTTACAATGCATCCATAGCTACTACAGACCACTGCAAATAGACCCTTTTACTGTTTGTAAACAATAATGACGTCGGCGAGAATGCGCGCGCAGCTTGGCAACAGAGAATGGCGTTGTGTCAGGCTTTATCAAGCTACGCTGCGGGGTTATCACCGGCAACTCTTGAATGTTATATTATTAAACTCACTTTAACGAATGGCAACAGACTCCCGGATCCCTGTGGCATTACGGAAAGGGTGGAAGATGTAGGTGCGTGGCCAGATGTCCAGTGTCCCGATATATATACGTTTTTAGTGGAGAGGCCCAGTAAGTACACAGGTGAGAAGCTACGGGCATACAAGTCGTTAGATGCATACAACTATGTTGTCTGTGGCCACGTACAGAAAGTAAAATATCACCACATAGACTCTGAGTTTTGCGTCTTGAAGGCAGAAGTCCTTCCTAGCCAAAGACAAGGACACAAGACTGCTATGTACGAGGCTTGGGTCATAGTAAACTAACCAGAGAACTACGTCTTCACAGCCAACTGTACCTGCATGGCAGGGTGAGTATAGCATAGGTTTCTTTTTTTAGCGTGCTCAGAGTACAATCGTGTTAATTTTAGAGAAATACAGTTTATACTAATATGCAGTGGGAAAATACAGATGAATTAGAATGAAATGTTAATTTGAAGCATGAAATAAAGCGTATAAATTTGTTTAATTCTGTCATTTTGATGATCCATACTTGGGTCATGCTGCAGCCACGCAGCAGCAATTTTATTCAGAGTTGAGCTTTGTGTTAGGATGGGAAAAACAGAAAAGGCTGCAGTTACATCTCAGGCATGTGCATGTTCAAATGGATGTGCTCCCTTCGGAATTCTGTAAAGTTTCAGTCCACTGCTTGAAGAGAAGCGATTCTGGCATCCATACACGCAACAACCTGACATGTTTACGTGCTCAGAACTTCAAAACAAAGGGTTTAAAACGCTGTTTTAGTATCGAGTGTGAATGAGGAAGCCTTCACTCTCGTTGCCAGGCTGCGCGCGCAACTTTTGATGATGTAGGCAGTAAAAGGGTCTATAAGCTGAATAAACGAACGTTCCAACACATTCGATGGAAAATCATTCCACAGTCTAACCTTTTTAAAATGGTTGACTGAAGTTGGCTCTCCACTTAAGACTAACGATTTGGCCCACCATATAGTTGACTTTGTTGGTTCTTTATTGTGCTTGAAGTCCCTGTCAACATAATAAATCCTAGTTTATACTTCTCCGGCAGCGGCAGTACGGAGACGTGCCACGCCATGTGAATTCAAGCGCTCTGCACCACCTCTGCCATTCAGACCACCTGTGTGAGAGAGCGCAAGCTTGTGTATTGATGAGCATACCACTTCCTTTAAATTTGTCAACAGCACCCCTCACACCCAAAAATCCCCTAAAACAAACAACAACAAAAAACGAGGGTTGAAGATATCTAGCGGCAGATCAAAGAGCATCTCATGGAAAAAATCTGCGACTTGAAGTACAAATATGCACAGCAGACTGGATTTATGCAAAGAAAGTGCACAAAATAAATGGAAGTACACATGAGTAAATACACTATCATGGACCAGAGGCAAGACTGCCAGGGTGGCAGGGCAAAACAAAATAGTGCTACAACCTCTGTTGTCCTGGGAGGGAATTGCTTTGGAACACTTTCCAGGCAATGAAGATGTCTCCAAGAATAATTTCTGTCAATGCACGCACGCAAATGTTTAACTGAGCTGAGAAGTAAAAATTAGGCTTTTATTTTTGCAGCATTGCCTTGACGAAGCAGAACTTCACCCTGAAGTACGACACCAACATTCCTCGGCAAGTGGTGAGAATCCGTTTGGATTTTGAACATAAAAAAATAAACAAGTGATTGATTTAATCGAAATCATAACATGAAACTTTTCATTCATGCAAATCTATCCTTTTACATTAAGGGCCTTGCTGGAAGCAGGTAAAAAAAAGATTTTCATTTGCTTCATAATCACCTAAAACATAGCATCTGATTTCTCTTCAAATGTCTCCCACAGCGCCATCATCTCAGCCACCCTCAAATGTCTCATGAAGTTCTACAACATCACAGATGATGTACGTGTGACTCCTACGAGTCATTTATTAAAGCTATCAGAGCAGAATCTTGTGTTTTCTTATTTTTTCCTGTCATTGATACCATTGAGTTTATTGTTTGTTGCACTGAAGGACCTCCCTAAACCAGTCAGGGCCAACTTCATTCTCAGCGTGGAGACTGATGAGCTGTTCATCACTGCAGGCCTGCAGGACAGAGTGGTGCAGGTCAGTTAGATGTTCACCATTTCTCTGCCTTCCTCAGTAAGCATGCATCCACTGGTGGCTTCTGAACGATTATTGGTTTTTTGGGGGGGGGGGGGGGGGTTATTTATGATGACAAGGCTATGTGTTTAACAACACAAGCCACTTTATTGGGTACACCTGTCCGACTGCTCATTAATACAAATGATTAATCAGCCAATGGTGGCAACTCGATGCATTTGGGCATGTTGACATGGTTCAGACGATCTGCTGCTGTTCAAACCGAGCTTCAGAATGGGGAAGACAGTGACTTTGAACGTGGCAT